TATTATTGCATCAGAGGGCCAAAGAGGCCATAACTAATGCTCCACCGTTGCTTTCGTTCACCTCCCCAATTTGGAAGAACAGTTCCCTTATCATCCCATCCCATCTGCAGAATCTCTTTTTAGCAGATGTAGAAACAAGCACATTATTATTCCTCATCATAATTAAGGAAAAAGCTTCTCAACTGCTCATCCAACAATCTCTTTATCATCCCCACCACTAGCAGTCACCAATACATACTTGCCAAAATAGCTATATATATATATGTGGGAGCTCTTTTATTTGAAATAGCCTTGTATATATTTCTTCAAAACTCTCATTTATTTGAGCCCATAGAAAGGACATTGGGAGTGAATGGAATCTGCTTTAGATCTCCTAAAGGTTAAGTCTCTTGAGAGAATGAGGTAAAAGGAAAAGTACTGAGTATGGAAACGAAGGGATGGCTAAAAAAATGAAATAGAAAACAAGTAGTGGCTTTGTCATGATTAGTGCCATGGAAACTCCAGAGAGTGAAAAATATTAACCTGAATGCTGCCATCCATTGCTTTGCCAAAGCCAAATTGCCAATTATTGTTAGAGGATTGATTGCCAAGGAACCTGAATACTGAAATTGTTGGCTGGAGTTGCATTATCCCTATTTGCCTATTGGGTTCCTGCTATAACCAACTAATTTGAGTTTTGACAACTAAGAAACCCACTCATGATACTTCCATGATTGCCTCACTCAAATTGTTCTTGTTTCTTTTTGTTGTTGTTGTTGTTGAGAGAGAAAGAGAGAGAGAGAGAGAGACATTTGATAATCATAGTGTGTTGATGTTCTGGATGTTCTGTGATCATTCAACTGTACCAATTAATAATCCAATTAATTAGTGAAACCAATTGGTAAAACCCTGTTGAGTTGTAAGTTGAGTTGGACCAAATATTATTTATTCCATGCTTTAAGGCTGATGAACATATTAATTTGGTACTCTTATCAATAATCCCTTTCTACTTAATATTCTTATTAAAAAAGTGAACCCTTCCTTGCCTTTCTTTCTGTAAGCATAAGCCATCAAAAGTGAATGTGTGGATTAAAATAGTATATTGATAGTTGTGTGTCACTGCTGCCCATCTGCCAATATGCTCATGCAGCTGCTTTCAGGTACAATATGTCTGATTCTCCTCCTCTCCTGCTTTTTGTAACTTATCACACAATCAATCCCATTCTTACCACCTCTCATCTCCACCGACCAACATTGCACATGAAGCTGCCACTTTTCTCTCCACCTTACCGACCACATACACAGAGTACCATCAAGTAGGGCTTCTTGTTGAATTGTGAGGGTCCGGACATATTGCTTAATTTCATTTACTTACAATCATATATAATCATATATAGGTGGTGGTCTAGTCACATAGACACACACATATAGGATAGATATAGATAGAGATAGAGATAGAGTGGTAAATTAATTGGTTTTCAAACGAAGCAAGCACATCTAAAGAAAAAGGCACAAGCAAGGAGTTTTATTCTTGCATCGGAGATCCTAAATTCGATTATCTTTTTCCTTAATATCACTTGGATCAAAATAGAAGCACACATAGATGTTTATTGTTTATTGTTTATTGTTTATTATTTATTGTTTACAGGGGAACATATCATAGGGTGTGTTTGGTGATGTCCAAAGTGACTTAAGCCATTTCCCTAATGGTAATAATTATCTCTTATTTATAGTCAAATATTCACGCCGAACTAAGATTCTAAGAATGATAGTGTTTGAGCCTAAAAATTTCACACTCCAGCTAAATTGAAAATCAGCCCATAACAGGAAAAAAACAAAAAACATGGGCCTTGTCTCCAGAAAATAGCCTAAGCGACTTTAGAAGCCCATGTTTTTGCCAAAAGTGGCAGAGGTTTAAAAACACGAAAATAACAAATAAGATTGCCATTTAATGGTAACTTAATACCAAGCAGGTCGAAAACCTCTAAAAATTGAATTAAACCCAACTTCTGAAAAATTCTCATCACTTGATCTCAACCCCAAAAGCAAGTTAGCAGATTTTCTTACTAAAAAATATTTTCTCAAAAGGGCCCCACGTGACTTCCTGACTTTAAAAAGTCAAAATTCTCAACTAAGACAGAGGAAATGATAGGGAGTTAATGAAGTCAGGTCTTACAAAAAAAACTTCTCCATTTTTTAGCCAGGGAAAAAGAAGATCAAATCCCCTTTCCATATGCACAGAAGCTCTGTACCAAAACATGTTATATTTCCAAGAGATAAGCATGTTACAGTTTCAAGAGATAAGTAGGGAGCAAGAGAGTTGTTCACCAGGAAATACAAATTGACCATCATAGCAGATTGTGTTTTTACAAGGAACAAACAGAGAACAAGAAGAGTTGGTTTTCTTTCAGGAAAAAGCAAGGAAAAGACCACCATGAAAACTGATTGTTGATGGTTATTCTCTGCCAAAATAATAACTTCCCTTTTTGTGGCATTTGAAAGGGAAGATATTTTTAAAAAATATGCTGCCCATTATTAAAAATTAAAAACCCCACTCTAGCATTTTTTTTTCTATAAATATAAGAGGAAGTGAACATATCAAAAGGACAGCAAAAAAATCAATCAAGACAATACTCTCAAAGTCACAACTAACAAACTCAAAAAGATCAACTGATCTCAAAAGCTTTCAGACACTTAAGCAACCAAAGCTCTTTGATCCACAAGAAACAAATCAGCTGGAATTCAAATATCTTATTTCAGTTCAGTTTAGAGAAATTGTTTTACAAAGCGAGACTTCTCTCGTTATAAATTTGGTTAAGCACAAGCCAAGTCAAGCAGAATCCGAGTTTTTGTAAAATGAAAACCTCAACAAATTTACATAAAGCCTTGATTAAGCAGAACATGTACTACAGTACAGCTGCAGCCTAGTGATCATCAATCCAGCTATTTGCCCTCTTCAGACCAAATAGTCCCCAATTCTGCTCGTTCAAGAAGCCTTCCGAGGTTTGAAATAGATCGAAGCTCTGCCAAACTCAAACGTTGGTATTGATTTCCAGCTGAAACTCATCAATTAAAGGTGTTGACAATTCGATCCAGCATAGACATATCCAGTCCAACCCAGTTTAAAGGTAGCTAACCAGACAAAAATCGAAGTCCAACATTCTGTTGTCTTTTTCGGAGTTGCCATTTCTCTTTTGAGTATTGTAATAGTCAGTTCTGCTTAGACAATTTGTCTTTTTTTCATCTATTCTGGCCAGAACTACCGGTTTTGTACTGTGAAAAAATTGTGAAGTCCTCATCAGTTTGAGGTAAGAAAAGAACTTACTTGGGAGATATTCCTCATCCAAATTCACAATTTCTTGTTTAGAATCAATAACTTGGGGCGCAAGTTATCTAATTTTTAGAAGTCTGCTAGGGTTTTAAACTGCTAGCAGTGGCACGCTCACGCACAAAAGAAAGTTGACTTGTTGACCACCAATGATTGTAAAGCCAATAGGGAACGTTACCCTACCATCACATGAAAAAATAAAAAATGGGTGAACAGATAGTCCATTGCTTATCAAATAATTGCAGACATTTGCCTCTCACACTTCACCACCAGCCTTTGTCCCTAGAGACTGCACTACTTGTTCCTCCAAATGATAATGGGTTGTAGGAGTTTTTTAAAATGACTTGGAATTCCTCAAATTAAAAGTAATTCTAACTTCAACCAGGAGAACCAAGTCTATTAGAAGAAGCTATTTTGTAAAAAAATATCTCCATTAGTTTGTACTTAGAAAATAAATTCTCTTGCAACAAGAATTAATGTATTATAATATAACAGTTAGGCTGATTTGAGTTAAACCACACACACACACACACACATATATATATATATATATATAAAGCAAAAGGCAGAGTATATATATAAAGCAAAAGGCAAAGAATGATGAAACATTCAAAATACCAACAAATGCTTTTGGTTAATGCAAATATTAAAAATTAAAATTATTAGTTACGTGAGGATAATATGGTCAATTTATATTTTTCATATTAAAAAAATTAAAATTAAAAACAAATCAAACAATGGTCCTGTTTTTATAGAACATAACTAACTACCCATTTTATCTATTCTTAATTCTAAAAATAAAAAATATGAAAAAATAAAAATAGAAACCAATTGACACACATATGAAGGGCTAGTTTTAGACAAAAAAGAAAACAACACATCAATATGACAATTTCTAACCAACATACCAAAGAACAATATTTATTTAGATCATAAAACCAACGTACTTGTACAAAAAATAATTAAGAAAAAAAATACCGTAAGGGTCTTGTAATTCAAATGATTAAGAATATTTTCCCACTTACTCGAAGTCTTAGGTTTTATTCTTTCCTTCCCAATGCTTGAAAAAAAAAAAAAAAAAATTTCAAAATGATTTTCCAATGCGCTAATGCGCTGCGTTAATAGGCAGCGCTGCTTATTGTTGGGCGGGACTCTTTTAATGCAATAAGTCTCATTTTACCCAAGACTGGCCCATCATATGGTCCTAGTTTTGCTGGGCTTCACTTACTTGTTTAACTCAGATTGTGTGTTGTTAGTAGTCCCACTCTGACTAGGAATCCCAAAGCAAACCCTTTTTATATTTCACCACATTAACATTCACAACCCACCACATTAACATTCCAACACGACGAGAAGAGACAAACCTCCTCCGCCTTCAAGCTCCCGAAAGCGCAGCGAAAGAAGAGCTGGTAGAAGAAGACATGTTGCTGGTGGTGGTGCTGACAGCTCTGAACAACTGCCTCGGCCATCGGCACCGAAGACAATTTACAGTTACTTAGAAGGGTTGTACGAGAGAAGAGGATCTGACCGAGAGGAGGCACTCGCTTCAATAATTGGGGTGTTAAATAGCAGATTAGAGCATGACTTTCTAGAAAAGAATTTCGCAAGTTTTCTATACAGGGGCTTGAATTCCTTCAAAAAGGGTTCCTCCAAGGAGAAGCAGCTATCACTTCATCTCGTAGGGTTGCTTGCCATGATCATTGGGTATGAGGATAAAGTGTCTGAAGTGTACAGGGAGTTGCTTCCGGTTCTTTCTAAAGCTCCGAAATCTGGAACCACGGCAGTGAAGGTATTAAATTGTTTGGGCATTGTGGCTTTTTTTGGTGCAACCAACTCAGAGGATATTCAAAATGCAATGCAAATTATATGGAAGTTCATTCATGCTGATCAATCTGATGCAAATGAAGAAAAGCATTCGGCGGCGGTCCTAGTTGCTGCAATCAATGCTTGGTTGTTTCTACTGACGAGCGTGGAAGGATGGAGACTCAGACACAACAACTGGAATGGAGCCATTGATTACTTCTCAACCCTGTTGTTAAAGCATGATGATAAATTAGTCCGTGTGGCTGCTAGTGAAGCACTAGCTTTGATTTTCGAAACCGGTAGTTTGGAAAAGTTCTGGGGAGAAGGAAAGGAACGTAGCTATTCTCATATGCAACAATTACTGAGGGAGAGTATCGTTGCAAACGACGTCCGCCAAGTTGTGAAATATTTTGAGAATTTTCAATGCCCGGGAACATCATTAACAGTCAATGGAAAAGATCTAAAGCTGTCATCATGGTATCAGAAGATCCAGTTACAGTTTTTGAAGGGTTTTTTAGCTGAAGGGCTCGAACTACAAGTGAAGGAAAATGAAAAATTACAGAATCTGTTCGAGTTCAATCCACATCGAATTATACATTCAGGTCGAGAATTGTATGCGTCCACCACTGATAAAATCAGTGTCACTTTCTTTTTACCTGAAGAAAGAGACCCTGAAAAATTAACAAAGGAAGATCGAAAGAAACAAAAGATTTGGAGAAACTCTGTTCTAAAGAAGGCACAGACACAATTAATGACCAAACATCGCCGTTTGTCTGCAGAAATGAACTGCTCCGACTATGATTGACACCGAGAGTAAACTTAAACACATCTTATTTTCAATTTTTTTTATAGTTAAAAACTGTGCCTTTATATATTCATTTTATTAATTAATAAAGATTACAGCCATCGTGTCTAGCCCAATGTAAAAGAGTTTTGACTTAAAAAACTAGAGATCTATAGTTTGAATCCTAGTAACATCATAATTATATATAATCTCTCGCTGACTATTGCTTCTACTAAAAAAAATTAATAGAGATTACACTTGTTCACAGTTTCATCTTTTCTCTGCCTTGAAGCCCAATACGCACAACTTTTGTTAGTCAACTAAGGTTGTGTCTTTGGACCAGGAAGGTTGACCAAGGAGTAGTAAGCACCTGCGGGCCCCTTAGCCAACAGGGAAGAGTGGGTCCCTTTCTCCACCACTTTTCCTTTTTCAAACACAACAATAAGATCACAGTTATGTACGGTACTTAACCTGTGAGCCACCACCACGCTAGTCCTCCCCAACCTCAACCGCTCCAGCGCTTCTTGCATCACCATCTCCGATTGGCTATCGAGCGCGCTGGTGGCCTCGTCCAATAGCAACACCGCTGGGTTTCTTAATATTGCCCTGGCTATTGCTATCCGTTGCTTTGACCTCCAGATAGCTGCACCCCTTTATCCCCACACGACGTGTCGTATCCATCCTTTAATCCGCTGATAAAATCGTGAGCGTTGGCTGCCTTTGCGGCCTCCACGATCTCCGTCTCGTCCTTCTCATCGGACGCTCCATATACAATGTTCTCTCTTATGGTCCCACCAAATAGCGTTGGCTCTTGGCTGACTAACGCTATGTGTTTCCGCAACGATCTAAGGTTGTACGTCTTTAAATCTCGGCCGTCCATTTCCACCACGCCTTTGATTGGATCGTAGAATCTCTCAATTAATCCGATGATGGTCGATTTGCCTGACCCACTTTGTCCCACCAACGCCGTAGATTTTCCTGCTTCCACCTCAATCGAGCAGCGTTGGAAGATCATCGCATTGGGCCTAGTTGGGTATGCAAAGTCCACGTCACGAAATTGAATTCGACCCGTTATGTGTTCTACTTGCCTGTCCTGAGGAACTTGGGGCTCGATTTTTGTGGTCCGGTCCAAGATACTATAAATGGACCCGATTGCATACAAACCCATGGCAAGGTCTGATGTCATACTTCCAGCATCGGCTATGGTTCGGCCGGTGATGACCAAAATTATGATGGTTTCAAAGACTGCTCTTGCTGTGACGTGGCCCTTGTTGACAAGCATGGCTCCCCACAAAAAGCTGACACCCCAATTGAGAATTGTGATGCTCTGGGCAAACCCGAGCCCAATACCCGCGACCCAGGACTGTCTTATGCTCTCTCTACGGGGGCCTTCTCGGGCCTTTTCTAGCATCTTCAGAATTGTGTTCTGGGCTGAGAAGGCAGTGATGGTGCGGATGTTGGAGACTGCCTCGGCAGCAAGCTTGCAACTTTCCTCTTGGGCTTTGATGGCTTTTGTGGACATTGTTTTGAGTAGGACTCGCTTTGCATAGAAGCTGGCAATGACTATGGGTTGGGTGGCAATAATGACCACGGCAAGTCTCCATGCTATTATTAGCCCCATTGTCCATGCTATGGCGATGCCTGAGATGGTTTGTATAAGAAGACCCATTCTGTCACCCACTAAAGATCTCACCTGCCAATGATAAGAGCATTGTCAAAATCCCATTTGGTTTACAAGCGATAGCCTATACAGATTAGCAAGTTGTCATGAGAATTTGAACTTGAGACTATTAATTTATAAGTCACAATGTTTTTTTTTCACAGAATTAGACCCCGTTGACTAGTTTTAAAGAGCTAAACTTTGCTCTTGTGTTAAATTCTAATATGAAAAAAAAAGATTGTTTGGTACCGATCACCGCAATATTTCCTCCAGCAATGTATGAAGTATTGTTATCGGGTACCAATCATTGAGCAAATGTTTTTACCAATAATGTTGAAATAATTAGACCTACCATTTCAGCTTCTTTGGTGAGCCTAGAGCAAATGGCACCGCTGGAGTTTTGTTGGTGCTCGAACCATCCAACTTCAAAAGTGAGTATCTTTGAAAGCAGCCTCTCCCTAATCCGATTGGTCAAGAGCTCTCCCATGTATGAGAAGTTGTAATGCTGGATGATATTAATCAGCATTGAGAAAACGGAGAGCCCAAAAAAACACAACGCAAACGTCCTTATTTTCTCTTCCATCTCATCATGATTTGTCAAGAAAAACACCGATATCGTGGTCCCCATGATGAATCCGTACACCGGCTGAACCGCTCCGAAAAGAACAGCACTCAAACACCCTAAAGTCGCTTGCTTCCACTCTGGAAGACTCATAGACATCAATCTCCAAAATGAAGCTCTGGGTTTGATCACGTTGTTTGGATTTTCTTTAGCAGTAGCAGCAGTATCCAATCCAGCGTCCTGGGGGATCGAATTCAATTCGCTCGCAGATGATGGAAGAGCGGGACTATTAGTACTGTTGTTGCAGTGACATTGATCTTCTGAAGTTTCTTTTGGAATTTGTTGGAGACGGACAAATGAGGCGTAAAGCCCATTTTGGTTTTGTACTAGCTCGTCGTGTGAGCCAGTTTCTGTGACGCTACCATTTTGCATGACGGCAATAACGTCGGCGTTTCGAATGGTGGACAGGCGGTGTGCGATGACTATGGTTGTTCTACCCATGGCTGCCTTGTGGAGAGCCTCTTGAACAAGCATCTCTGATTCAGAGTCTAATGCGCTGGTGGCCTCATCAAGAAGAAGGATCTTGGGTTTTCTGACTAATGCTCTTGCGATGGCAATCCTCTGCTTCTGTCCTCCTGATACTTGAATGCCCCTCTCACCAACCTGTTGGATTTGATTTAATGAAGATTTGCTACTATTTATTTAAGTAATATCTTATGGATTTACCAATTTATTTATTTATACTAGTAATAGTCGAGCGGGCTCACTATCCTGAACAAGTGGCCTAACATACATGTGATTTGCCAATTTATTATTACTGTGATAAATTGTTGTTCTACTAATTGCCAGTAGGGAAAGGGAATGAAAATTAACCTGGGTATCATATCCTTGAGGCAGCTGAGATATGAAATTATGAGCATTGCTAGCTTTGGCAGCCTCAATTACTTCCTCAATTGTACCATCTTCCTTGCCAAAGAGTATATTCTCCTTAATGGTGGTTGAGAACAGAGAAGGCTCTTGGCTTACTGCTGCCATTTGTGATCTTAGCCACTTGAGCTGCAGCTTATCAATGGCAATCCCATCTAGAGAAATCTCTCCCTCAAGAGGGTCATAAAACCTTTGCAACAGTGAAATCACTGTGGATTTTCCTGAGCCACTAGGACCTACCAAAGCAACTGTCTTTCCTGCTGGTATGTTCAGGCAAAAGTTGTTTAGTATGATGCCATCAGGCCTTGATGGGTAGGCAAACTTGACCTGTTTAAATTCAACTTCACTTGAAAAAAATTCCAGAATTTTGCCTCCCATGTTGTCTGAATCAATCTGGGGAACTAGTTTTGTAACTTCCATAATACGCTCACCAGCTGAACATGCTTCAGTTATGTACTTGAGATTTGATAAAGCAGAACCCATTGCCCTGTTTCTCAAAGAACAGAGGAAGTTAACCCATCATTTCCTTTTCTAAAAAAAAAAAAAAAAAAAAAAAAAAAATTACAATTTTTTTAATCGCATAAAATTCCATGTTATGAAGTAGAATTGAGAAGAAGTTATTGCTTACAATCCCCCATTGACTATTGAGACGCCAACTGCAAAAACATTTCCTCCGAGCACGTCGTGGTATATAATCATTCTGCTACCAGAGTAAGACATGACAGCCCAAATGGAAAAGATAGTGCCAGAGCTACCAATGGCCAAGCCTTTAACCAAGCCTTGCCTCAACCCCAACTTAATAGTTCCGTGTAGAGCTGCAGAGAATTTTTGAATGGTATTGTTCTCTCCAACAAATGCATAAACAGTCCTAATGGAAGATATTGCCTGCTCCGCTATTGTCCCAGCTTTAATGCACTCTTCTCTTCTCTTTTTAGCTAATTCAGTTAAAGTTCTTCCACAAATCCAACCAGGAACTACCAGAAGCAAGGAAAATGGGAGCCCCAACATAGCCAGTTCCCACACCATGAAAAATGCTACTGTGTAACCCGCAACGAACGTAGACACTTTGCTTACAAAATCTGGAACCTGATCATTCAAATTCATTATATGAAAAAAGAGTTAGGACAAAATAATGTTTCTGATATGTTATAACTTGATAGGAATTAGGAAACTTGACTTGAATGTAGAAACCTTTTCACTGAGAACATCTTGAATGATCTGAATATCATTTGAGATACTTGTGACGACCTCCGAGGTGCTGGTTTCATGTAAATCAAAGTAGCCCACGTCTTGCCTTAACACTGCTTTCAAATACCTGCTTCTCATTCTTGCAGCTTGTCTTTCTGCTGTTCGTGTCCAACAATATCCCTCTAACATAACAAATTACACTGAGAACACTATTCGGTCTGAACTTGATTTGTATATTTCAGTTGTTGCAAAAACAAAACAAAACAAAACCATGTTCATGTTTATGTAGTTAAATCGATTACGTACCTAAGAAGCAAGCAACCCATGAGGCCAAAGCTAAGTACACAAACGCTAGCATTCCGTTCTGCATGAGGCCATCCACAACAAAATCCAAAGATTGTGAATAGCTTTTTCTGCATATTTTCAGTGTTTGTGCATGTGTGAATGTGAAAAATGAGAAGGTCGAGAGAGAGAGAGAGAGAGAGAGAGAGAGAGAGAGAAACCTTATTGATGTTAAGGCGCAAATTACGTACATCCAAATCTGAGGCTCCAGCTCTGTCTGCTCTGCCCATATTGTTTATCACTCGGCTACATAAAACAATCACCAGACGTGAAGTGAAGCCATCGCCTATGGCTCCAAGCAACCCCAGAGTCATCAACCACTTGTCAACTCCATCCGCATGCATGAAAATGGACCTTATTGACCCATTTTTCTTCTTCTTCTCTGCTTCATAACTAGTTTTCTCTGAACTGCTCATTCTCACTCTATCAGTCTTTCTCAGATAACAAACAACAGGTATAATTAGTAAAATATGTCCTCACAATGCCTCCCTCTCTAATATATAACTTAATTTTCTTTTAATTTGTTGTAGGAAGTGCTAAATTTTGACTTTAACCAATGTCAGGCTAAATGTTGACTGTTTTATAGGATCCCGATAACTTTATTTGTTCGCCTTTGGTGGAAGAAAGGAACACAATGCTTAGGTGCTCACCACCTCAGATTGCATATACAACTACAACTTTTTAATCTTCGTTCGGAGACTGATTTGCAGAATTTAAATTGATATCCCAGAATCTAAATCACCTAGTAAGAAATCCAATAATTTCGAATTTATTCTAGTGTATTTAGAGCATTTCCAATAGTAATAGCAAATTAAAGTTTGTTGACCTATGTGGCAATTTGAAAAGGTTTATTTGCAATTTGAAATTTTTTGCTGCAAACTGACTTAGGAATGGCAGAAATCCCGGCAGGGGCGGATCCCTGTCGGGTCTCCAACCCTAACGGAGGGAGATTTCGGGACAAAACGTGTATCGGGTACAGGGATCCCCGAATTGGAAAAATCCCTGACAGGTATGGGGCGGGGATGGTATTGGCATCTCTATTCCCGAACCCGACCCAAAAATATATATATTTATATTTAAATAAATAAATCATTATAATATTTATATTTAACCCTAAGTTAACCTCCCTTCCCTAATTCTTCCTAATCTTCTCTGGCCTCCAGCCGCACCTCTCTGTCTCTCTGTCTCCCTGTCTCTCTCTTCCTCTTTCCAGCAACCACATCCCCCTCGCCCGACACTAACTCAAGTCAGCCATAGGGCTCTGACTTTGGCTTCTTGAATTGCAACCGCATCACTCCACTCCACCAGCTTCTGTCCGACTGTCATAGCATGGACGCTGCCAAAGGAGCTCTTTGGCTATATTGCCCTACAGCCTACCCTTCACAAACATAAACGTATATACATGTATTATATATTTATGTTTCCATGTGCAAGTTGCAACCAATGAAAATTTGTAAGATGAAAATTTATGTTTATATATTTATGCTTTCCCCCTCAGCTGCATCCCCCAAAATTTTATAAGATGATGATGATGAAGATTTGGATTATATATATATATATATGTTTTGTCAAATTGAATTGATGTGATTTTGAATTGTTGAGTTGAACTTTATAGTTAATGTATGTGTTGAATGATAATTTAATATGAAACTTAATGTTAAAATGTATGATAAATATTTTTTCATGCAAAAAAATCGGGGATTTGGGGTTGGTATGATGGATAGTCCCCCAACAAGGACTAGAATGGGGATTCCTCGAAACCTATTAAATGAGGATGAGTTTGGGAATAGGGGCAAAGATGGAGAGCGGGGACAGGGATGATATTGTCATACTCGGATCCTACCCGACTCGTTGCCATCACTAAATAGACTCTTCAATTCAATTAGTGCAATATCATGGAAAATAATGAAAAATAGGAAAACATGTGAAAAATGTCTATGTATTTATTATATGAAAAGAAAAATTGCATGTTTTTAACATTTTAAAGGTAGGTTTTGTTTTTCCAATAAAATTAAATGTTTGAAGAACCAAAGTCAACTTACTAGTCTTGAAGATAGAGAAAGATGTTGGAGCTTTGATGATTGAGTTTGAAGAGACGGTTGGAGAGAGTTTTTCTGATGTGGCACACCTATTTTAGAATTCCAAAGATGTTGAAGAGACTGTTGGAGATGCTCTTATATTGCAAAGTTTATGCAAAGTTAAAATTATCCAAAAGAGGTAACCATTTCCATTATATTAACTAGTCCCTTGATACACGCTCATAGGTATGCCAATTGGTTTTATTTTTTAATTTTAGAATTAAGAAAGATAAAATAGGTAGTTGTGTTGCATAAAAATAAGACTCATTATCTGATTTTGTTTTTATTCTTATTTTCAATATGAAAAAGTATATATTTACCATATTATCCTCATTTAATTAATATTTTCATTTCTTAACATTTGGATTAATCAAGAACATATGGTGTTTTGACTGTTTCACCATTTTCGGCCTATTATTTTATATATATAGATGAAAAACACCATCTGGTATCTTATAGTGGAGATGGAACCAAACAAAGTGACAACATAACACTCATTGTGCGCAACCCTCTCATTTTTTAATCATGCATCTCTGATATCAATGGCTACAAGTTAAATCATCGCTACAAATTATTAGGCATTCATTTTATACAAGTTTCTTAAGATTAAGTTCTTAACTTATGTCACTCATGAGATCATTTGCGATAATATACTTATCATTCCTTTTGTTTTTTCTCTCTTTTTTATTTTTTTACAAAAAGGAATACCAAATTCAAATGCGATATGATCATACAAACAGATTTGACACCAACAAAAATATTATTTTACAGAGAGTAAGACAGCACTCGAGCAAGCAATAATACTACCTTTTGTTCTTGAAAGGGAATTATTATTCGGAGTGCAAATAACGTAAAAGAGAAAAGAGAAAAGAGATGAAAGAATCTATAGAAAAATAAGTGGGCCTAGTCTTGGGCTTGAAGGTGCTCTGGTTGATTAGTAAGTGCGCAAAATCGAAGCACACAGCCATGGCGGGAAGTGACCCACTGAAGAAGCCTAGTCTTAAACTTAATTCACGTTTCCGCCTCCGAGAAGTCGCACGGAGGTACAATACAATCCCGGCATACATTTTCCTATTCAGCATTTGCATATTTGTTTGGTTCCTGAGAAAATGTAAATGAAAAGGAGAAAAAAGAAGAAGTCGTGATCTCCTTTTCTAGTCGCATTCGTTTATATAATCTCACTAAAGGCAGTTTGCAATGCTAGTTATCCAATTACAAAAGCGACTTCATAGGCTTTCGCTTTCCCGTCAGAAAACCGAACCGATGCCTCTCTCGTCTCCTCCTTATGTTCTTCCTCTCCTCTCCGTCAGTAGTGAAAGAAGACAGAGGTTGGTGTCTGTGGAGAAGGAAAGGAGAGGGAAAATGGACGGGTCGGCTTTGGGCTGTTTTCTTTTCAAAAGTGTTTTTAAATTTATCCTAAAAAAGTAAAGCAATCTCTTTTGTTTTTTTTAAGTACTTTTACTATAACATATAAGTGGACAATAGAGGAGAGAGAAAATCAACTCCTTTTTTTATTTATCAATGCTAACATTAAATGCTAAAAATAGGGCCGTTTGATAATTATTTTAATGTTAGTTTTTAGTTTTTAGTTTTTGTGCTAGAATATATAGGAAAAAATGGAGAATTGAAGAGAGAATGAGAGTGAAAATGAGATCGAGAGGGAAGATGAGATGGGAGGAGTAACAAAAGTGAAAACAAAAACTAAAAACTTTGTTACTCCTCTCTCTCATCCTCACTCCCATTCTCACTGTCATTTTCCTTTATAGTCTAACACAAATAATAAAAACTAAAAACTGTATATTTTACTCTTCTCCCTCCTGTCTTTATTCTTTGTCTCTTCTCAATCTATCTCCCTCCTATCTTTATTCTTTGTCTCTTCTCAATCTATCTCCCTCTTCTCTCTCTTTTCGATCTCTCTCCCTTTTCTCTATACTCGATCTCTATCTCTTTATCTTGGGGATTTCTATGATTTTGGTTGGGTGATTAGTTTTCATGATTATGCGATGAGATTTCTTCAAATGGTGCCTTAGTTATTGGGAATTCTATCCTTGATTTTGGTTGTGTTGACGAGTCCTTCTTCAGTCATATTATAATTGAGATTTATTTCCTATTTTTATCTTTTTAGGGTTAATATATCTTTGTACTTCTTTATAAATATGTCCATATTGGAGAATAATACATATATGATAATACTCATTTTGGCATGGTATTAGAGTAATACGCTCATGTGCCCTATGTTTGACCTTGCCTTGTTGTGTCCTTACTTTGTCTTTCCCCATTACCTTAACATATTCCTATGAAGAAATGACCTATTTCTTCAATTTAAATTGATATTCCATAATTTAAATCACCTTTTATGATATCTAGTTTCGAATTTATTCTAGTGTATTTACTATGTGTATTGCAAAGTTTATGCAAAGTTAAAAATATCCACAAGGGGTAACAGTTTCCATTATAGTGGAGATGGAACCAAACAAAGGTACAATAGAAAACTCATTGTGCGCTGCCAAACAAAGTTAAAAATACCCACAAGGGGTAACAGTCTCCAATAACAATAACTGCATCTTAATTTCCCTCCCTAAAAAAGATTGTAGGCATCAATTTTATACTTTCTTAAAACTAAATTCTTAACTTATGTCACTCATGAGATCATTTCGGATGATATACTTCCACACTTTTTTTCTCTTTTTAAAAATTATTATTTTTTTAATATAAAAAGTCCAAATGCATTTGAGATAAGATCATGCAGATTTTGACACCACTAAAAATATCATTTTACAGAAGTAGTAAGACAATGCAATATGCATTTGTGTTACGTTCTTTCATGTTTCTCTTTTTGTAAAAGACTAATACAACCTTTTGTTTTTGTTTTTATACAAGCGAAGCGATATTAGGAAGGGAGGAATCGAAGCACGTAGAGGTAAAGGAAAGAAGCTAAAGAAAATAACTGGGCCTAATCTTGGGCTGAAGAAAAAGGAAATGGGCCCAGTACCGGGCTAAAGAAAATAAAGTGGGCCTAGTCTTGGACTTGAAAGATCATTATGATCATCTATCTGACCCACGGAAGCCCTGGTTGATCAAGTGCGCGAAACAGAAGTACACAGCCATGGCGGGAAGTGACCCACGGAAGCACCTCTTCAACTTAATTCACGATTTCGCCTCCGAGAAGACGCACGGAGGTACAGTCCCTACACACCTTTTACTATTTTGCATTCGCTTATCTGTTTGGTTCCCGAGAAAATGTAGATGAAAAGGAAAAAGAAAAAGAAAATCATTTTTCCTGAGAAACGTAGAAATAGGCACTAATAATTATGTACTATGAGCTCGCTAATTAAGTTCAATTCTGTTCCCGCTAGGTTTTATTGGAAATTAAACGAATAGCTTTTTCTTTGCATATTTTGAATTTCGCTGAAATTTGAACTGGAAAACTTTGGATACACATGCTTTGAGATATGCAGAGCGAAGAGTGGTAGGTCTGAGGAAGCGAATTGAAGAGCTCCGATCTGAGCTAGAGGTTGCAAATGCAGAGCTCGAGGAAGCCAAGCGCAGCAAGGAAACTACTGAGCAAGAGCTTAAAGGATACGAAGTTGAATTGGCTATGAATGAAGCTGCGATTCAAACGCTAGAGGTTTGTTATTTTTGCACAATGATTTTGTTCTTAATTTGATTAGGCTTTAATCGAATCTTCAATGCAGTCAAGGATTTCTCTGACTCAAGACGAGATTTCCACAGTCGGATCGGATTTGGATGCTCTTAAGGTATTTTTACTTTCTGTTTCTAGTAATTTAATTAAATATTTGTCTACTGATCCTCATTTTATGTTATTTTTGCTTGGACCTTGGAAAAGAACAAAAAAGGGGCTTCGCGGTACGAAATTTTCATCTCAAGCGTTTTTTTAATTATTTTCAATTTTTTAATTTTTAAAAATTCTAATTGCTTGCCTTTTAATTATTTGCCATAATTGTCTACGCAGAGATGAGTTTATAAGCCAAATGTTTGAGATCAACACTCAGATAAGGTTAGCCTCATTTGAAAAGAAAAATAGTACTTGTAACAAGTTCTCAGAGCATTTTGGAATACATGGCGTATTTGTATGCCCCATTTTTAGACAAATTTCACATGATTCCTGTGACTGCTATTTCAAAAATGTTTAGTGCCTTCCTGCGGTTTCTAAGTTACTATCATACTGGTTAAAAAATTTGAATGCAGGAAGTTCCAAGAGTCAATTGCTCGAAAAATTTATGAGCTCTTGTACAATGGAAGTACAGAAGGTGATGGCTTGTGTACGCTTATCCATTAATCTATATATAGTATTGATCTCTGAACATGTGCTGTTCCTTCTTTTTTTATTTTCATTTGTCGAATCTTCTAGTCATTATTAACTCCTACATCTCTATTTACGTCTTCAATATAGATCTTCCTCAAAAGAGGAGCAAAATGATCGCATAATGTAGCTTGGGTAGAAACTAAAAGAACATTGCAATTTTGTTTCAGAAGAAGATCCCAAACTAGCGAAGGAGGAGGTTACTGAAGGTGCTTTAAGTACACTTGAAGATATGCTTGCTGGTGTAATATCTCAGACAACCGAAGTGGAAGAAGAATACAAATCAGAACAGAACATTCAAAAGCAGGTAGGAAATCGGTCATTGAAACATTACCAATGGCTTACATTACAATTTTCTAAATGCGTAGTTTTAGTGTTCATGTTAGTATTTCCCAGGAAAGCAACATGAAAATGACTGAATTATCTGGAACTTCTGCTTCTACAGGTCCAGCAGGCGCTGATTGATTGTGAAAGGAAGGTATTCTTGATGGAGGAGATGTTACAAGCAACAAAAGCATTGCAGGACTTGACAAGATATCCTTTTCAAGATTGCATTGGTTACTGAACTTAATCAATGGTTAAGCATATTATATATTATTCCTCTGGACCATGTAGAAAATTAGAATGCAAAGAAAATTGCCCATCTCATATGGTCATTAGTGATGGATCATGGTTGAATGAGTTTAAAGTAGTTCCATGGATATGAACAATTCATAAGCACAGTCAAATGTACTGCATAACAGTTGATTACTTGAATTTTTCATCATTTGCAAAATTGCCTTAATTGAATGCAACTAATAGTCATTAAATGGTTGTTGACATTTTGAAGGTTCTTTTTCCAGTTTTCTTGGCAAATAAAAGAACTTTCATGTTCTGTAAAAAAACAGAAAAGAAAAGAAGAATAGAGAATTCAATTGCTATGTTAGTTTTTGTGGTTTTCTTTCTTTTTCTCTAAGTACCATATTTTGTGGGCATGATCTACATAAGTTTTGGCTTTGACTGGAAACAAGCAGACTTCTGAATTGGAACAGATTTGTGCTACCGTTGGTGAGAAGTTGCAGAGGAGATGCATATGTCCCAGTTGTCATTTAGACAATGTGGGGGTCCTGGGTGGATTAATGGAGTCAAGTGAGGCAAATTAAATATTTGTAAGTAATCTACTTCACATAGCCCCACTTTATGTGTTCATTTTACCTAGCATGTAATGTACTGGAAAAGAGAACTTGAGGAACTATAAATCTACGGCACTCCTATTCAGTATCAATTACCACAGTTTGCCTTTGAATTCAATGGCATACAGGGGCCTTTTTTCGACAGATTATTTTATCTCATTTCTATATTGGGGATACCAGATGCATGTTATTTACACTTACGAATTGTTACCTGTTTGCATACTTTATAGCATCTAACTCATATTGCCCGGTCATAAAAAGAAAAAGGAAAATCCTTAGGATGAAGAAGAAAAAAGGTCACTGGAAAGAAGATTAAAAATTTCTTTGACACAATTTAGAGCACGCATGCAACAACACGATGTGCTAAAGGCTAGCTGCAATCACTGTCATCTATTTGTTCTATACATCTTGTATTATGTGTTGGTGATGCTTCTAAATCCTTTACGATCAATGATATCATTGTAGATTCGGCCTCCTTATCATGGTTGCTCTGCTCCTGCATTGATAAATTTATTCTTACCATCCCGACAAGAAATGTAGACTTGGCCTAAAAAAAACTGAATTTTATGTATACTGATATAGTTTGAAATTATTAGAGAAAACTTACGGTTTCAACAGGAGGTGGTATGGTGGGAAGAATGGTATGCCTTGCAACCACTCTTGGATTAGTAGAGTTCACTACTTCTATCTGTGTAGAGAAGAGGGCAGAGACGGGCCGATGGTCAGAGAACTTACTCTCGCTACGGAAGTAGGAAAGCTGTGTCAACCCTTTTCCGTACCATAGAATTCTATCACACCTGCCACCATAATCAAATTACCTATTTAATTTTTTATGTACCAAAAGAAAGAGATTTATCTTCTCATGATCTCATCCATTATTTTTGCAAAGCCATTTATATCAAGACTCACGGGAGGCATACTTGTGAAATTAGTCTGTGCCTATCTCTTAGAACCTAGAGCCAGGGCAGGGCCTCATGAATCCATAAATTGTAACCTAAAAGAGTCCAAATACTCAATAGTTTTAAGGAAAGAGATTATGGCTAGTGTTGTGGTCGTGTCTGGGTGAGAGAACTGAAAATCTAGCCAGGCTCTTACCATGCTGGAGTCCTTTGCTTCTCTCCTGATCTGCTTGGAACCCCACCTGAGTAGCGATTGCAATTTGATGAAGAATACTTGTAGGTAGGTGCAAATTCTATAGCTCCCTCCTCCCATCCCTGAAATACCCCACCATATTCTCGTTCCCTACAAAGCTGATCAAACTCTTGCAGTGCTCTCCAGTCTAGTTTCTTTATCAGCTGCCTGGCTGAATTGTCCTCCAAGTATAGCCTATAGTTGAGATCCCCGAACCAGAATATCCGACTGTTTCACAAAGAAAAATTAGCACGTTAAGGATGACTTCCTCCATTCTTTGATAATTTGACTCAATCTTCTTCCATTGTTTAATTATTGATCCTGAAATCTGGTTAGAGTTATACAGAATCCTAAGAGTATTGAGTTTGATTATGTTGAATTCTAAATCTTGCAAATTTGTCCTTCTATCATTTTGAATTTCAGGAACTCTTATAATTGTTGAGTTGAATAGTATTCATTAGCCAACCGTTTTGTGTTCTTGTGTGATTAATTTTTTTCGCAAATGATGAAGTTTAAGAACCTTTTCTTGATTATTGCAATGATCAATGCTGAAAACCAATAACGGAAAAATTTTACTGCTACATTCTACTGGGAGGAACACGTACTCGTGTCCTAAGATGGTGAGAGGATGAGGGATATCATCGTCTGCAGGAGATCGAGGGAAGGACGTTCGCCTAAAAATCTCTGACACTTGATGGTTCCTTCTGCCTTCATCTCCTTTCTTCTCACCGGAAGCCAAATGGGCAACAACAAAGCAGAAACTAGTTCCTTCGATTGTCATGCTGACTGAAACCGAACCTTTGTTTCCCAAATAACCCATGATGCCACAGGCCACTGAACAAACTTTAACATTTGAAATGTAATACTTGCTGACCAAGTCACTTTTCATCCATACACTAATGAACACTCCTACCATCTTCTTGCTTGCCATTAGCTTGTACTTGCTGACGCCCTTTGGCTTTTCATGTTGGCTTCTTGATTGCTCTCTCATCGACGTCTCATTGTTGCTCATCCTGCTTTCAGGTTCAGAATTTTTCACGTAGTGGCAGTTCTCACTTGGAATCGGATGCCATATAGGTGTCAACCAAGGGCACCCATATTCGTTGTTGAGAGTTTTCCCTATCAGCACGTTCCAATTTCTTGCTTCGGTTGGGTCTTCTGCCCCGATTACATTTCGGGTCTTCAAAGGCACAATCTCCTGAAATCTGCAAGCTAAATTGCTAAGTTGTGGCATCGGTTTATATTAATTTCTCATATCAATTAGAGAGAAAAAAAGAAAAAGAAATTATGAACACTATTAATTAAGTCCAGGTTTATAACATACCCAAGAACATACATGTCTGCCGCATCCTTAAGATTCAACCACTCACCCAAATCCACCGCCAAGCTTCCTATGGGAGACCTTCCAGCAACATTCCAAGTCCCCACAAAGACTCTGAAAAATATATACCAATATGTTAAAATCCATTATGCTTAATTCCTTTTGAAATTTTTCCTTCTTTTAACAAATTACCTCAACTCAATTGTTGAAGTGCATGGATCCATTTCCATGGACTGAAAGAGAATATCATCCAAGTAATCTTCACTTTCGTCTTCACCCCCATCTGAAGAAAAAAAAAATCCAGTAATCAAACAAACACTTCAGTAGAAGACGAGGAAGAAGAAGAAGAAGCAGAAGAAAAGAAGTCTCCATAGGTAGAAGTAACAAAACCTGAAACCTGACTCAGTTGATAAGGGTCAGCTCTCTTGTGCTTTCCTTTGAACCACTTTCTGAACCGTCTTCTTGGATTATGATTCTCGCTGTCCATGGCTAATTACAGCAGGCTCTCGTAAGTCCATGCAACAATTACAAAAAGATAGAGCACTTGTGGACAGGCTTTGTGCAACTTCCTGTAGCTTGCTGATCAGACGAAAGCTGTTTACCGCCTAGCATGGCTGATCTGGTTCCATTTTCTGTACTGGACACAAAAACAAAACGTGGATTTAGCTGTGAAAATCATTGTATCTACCGCCTTATTATACCAAAGCAATTGAAAGCCTAGAAAGAGACAAACACAAGAAGCTCATACAAACTATGGCTCCAGCGGCAACCCCAAGAGAGAAGACATACCCTACATATAGTCAAATATGGTTAGGAATTAGGGTATATATGAAAAAGATTAAGTTATACGTCCCCTTTGCTTGAGTATTAGGGTTGCTTGGTTGGTGCTTGTCACATTCGTCCTGTGAATTTTAGGTGACAATTAGTTGATTACATATCCTAGTCAATTTGTAATATAAGGTACACTACGAATAGTCTAACTTGAGCGCCACATTCAAGCTAGTCGATGTATTTTAAAACCCACTTGTATCAACGGATTTCGTTGGTGAATCCATTTGTATCAACCACTCTCAATTCATCAATCATGAATTCTACATTGATTGATTGAATAGAGGTGGATTAGTACTAATTTGGACATCACCGCTTGGGGTTTATGTATGATAAGTTGCTTTCCCAACTCTTAATAATAAAATCATCTCACCATCAGTCCATGTGATGCCATGGATAATGTTGGCCCGTAGCAGTAATGGCACCCGCGGCTATAGGTTTGGATTTATTGCATGAGCACATGAAATACATCGTGAGCGTGACAACAACAAAATAAAGAGTAAAAGCAAGAAAATCTATGGGTGGTAGTTATAATATTATGCAGAATAAATGCATAAATAAATAAATAAAAGTGCATGGACCAAAACAGAGACCCCCTTCTGTTTCCTCTCAATTCTGGGGCTTGATTTGGACTAAGGCTCTGTGACATATTTGTTTAGTAATTAATTAAATTGTGTTGTTTTCAAGGGTTGAGACATTCTAGCGGGAGGAGTAGATGCGATTTGAGTCTTTGCGGATACCTTTCAACCTCAAACTATAATGAGATAAAGAAGCTTCAACCCTCCTCGGGACCATTTGCTTCATGATCACATCATTACCCGTGAAATGACAATATTGCCCTCCCCCTCAATCTTCATACGATTGTTATTGCTGCCATGCTACCCCCACAACAAGCAGGTAGGCTTGAGGTCCCCTCCCTCCACAAGGGCATTCAAGAGGGTACACTGTCCCAATGGCTTGCTTATTTTTCTTGGTCGAAAGGTTCCTTCAAAAAACCAAAAAAATATTTATAAATTTTACTTGAAGAGTTAAACAACCGAAGTTTTCGGACAAGGAACTTATAACTCACATGGTTAGAAATAAATATCCTTTGCACGCGAGGGTAAACAACCGAAATTGGGAAAGTTTTATCCAAATATGTTAAAATTTAAGAAGTTGGTCAAAAGATACAGAGTGGAACCAAGATTCAGTTTGTTTATTCAGATACAGAGTGGAACCATGACTAAAATTTGAACTTTCGGGCATCAAAATGAACTTTAACGCCAAATTTTGACAATATAGATCAAGACACCAAACCTAAAGTTGAAACCCCCAAAATACACTCGAAACTTCTTTACGACTACCTACCAAATACAAGATTTTAAGATCAGAATGCTGATCAACAAATTTGCTGCCTCTCAAAGAACTTGTTTCCACCTTGATTCATTTCTTGCATCCGACACCAAATGCTGCCTGAACATCACAATGAAAGCTTCCACTCTCTCATTCAGGGCCTCCTTGGAAACCTCCTCTGTCTGGTCTTCAAACCCCTCTTCCTCATTCTCGACACTCGTCGATCTCTTCTTACATATTTCTTCATCACATTCTTTAACTTCTTCTACTGCTTGTTCTGATGACGGGCACCTGTAATATTCCCTTCTCTTATTTTTCCGTTCAATATTTTCGACCACTTCTGCATTGCTGTTGTTGCTGCTGCATTGTTGGTTTTGATCAAAATTTGAGGTGGAAGAAATGGGAGTGAAGAGAATGGCTAAGAGGATGAGGTTGAGCACAAGGAAAACCCATGCCCGCCATTGCTCCATGAGAAACACCATTAATATAACACGTTGTAAACACGCCATTAACACAGCTGCTCCTGCAGTGAACAAAACTGTGTGCACAATATACTCTTGAAGCTCTCTCTCCTTTGTTACTCTCCCACTCTCTCTTCCCATCTCCCTTTTGTGAATTTGATCTCTGGATATTACAAATTTACATGCCTAATGAAAATGGTGGGGATCTCTGTTGGGTTTTTATAGAACGAGGGAATGAAATTTCCAGTGGATACTTGGGGTTCACTAAAAAGCAACGGATTTGGTGGGATTTGTGAGTGCGCTTCACTGTATCACGGACCAGCTGTGATGATCAGAGAGACGTCAAGCTGCTTGGGGAGACAGCTAGACATAAATTCACCAAAGCCTGCAGGCTTTGTACCATCAGTCCAATACTTCATCAGCAACCTGCAACTCATGTGATATGATTTCTCCAACTTTGGATTTTGGGCAATTGGGTTTGGCTTAAAATTTAAATTCCTGCTTGCCCAATTAACAAAGGTCACTACTTTGGACTGGGTCTATTGATTTTATTTTATTTTCTGCTTGGCAGTTAAAAGTAGCACTAATTGTACAGGTAAAAAAGTTCAAAGATTTAATGGACTCGTATGATTTGAGGCAACAGTTCTGTTCTGCATAGGAGAGTAGGAAGGAATATCGTACCAACTTAAAGCCGCATGCCTTTTTACTTGAATGGAAAATTGGAAAAGCAGAATTTGCCGCATGATAGAGGGGCAATGAAATTAAAAGTGATGCTCGAAAAAGCACGCCTGTTTGCTGTTTGATGCAATTCATCATCAGAAAATGACCCCACATGCCGAAATTACATCACCAGCGGCAGCAGCAGAGGCAGCAGTTCAAACAGAGAATCATTCTTTTGGTTCTTTTGGGTTTCTGCGTAATTCAATCCAATTTTTCATAAAAAGGAGAGATTTGAAATCTACAGGCTACAGGTCCTTTGATATTGAAACAGTAACCCTTTTGTTCTCAATGTTTAAGTTTCATTCAAATGCAATAACCAGAGTCTAGTGCTGTGAGCAAACCTTGTTGGTGTCAAACGACATTGCTTCAGATTTCATATATATTTTTTTTGGCGGGGGTAAAGAATCAAGTCAAGTATCTTACATTAAATGTTCCCAAAATAAAATCTTTCAAAAATGACTCAGATTTTCAGAAATTATACAATTCACTATCCCACCGAAAACAATAGATACAGCTTTCGTTTGAAACGATACTGGTTATTATTTGTTAAATTCATTCTTTGAATTGTCTTATTTCTTCTAAAAAATGATTTGTTTACATGGTGACTTGTTCGAACCGTATGACGTGCTATGAGAATGGAATCAGACATAACAAGATTATAAGCATCAGCTTGAAATATGCTTCACTCCACGACTAAAAATGTGAACAAAACTAGAGCTTACTGAAAACCTGGAAAGGATAAGTGAGAGAGGCAGCATTTCTATTCGAAAGGAGAAATTTTGACAGGAATGGGGAGGTGTCAACCTGTCAGGTTTAGCAACTGTATCAGATTGTAAGATAGAATATCATTATGTAATTAAAACTAACAATTTTTGCAGATTTATAAATTTCTCTCTCACTCACTCTCTCCCCTGATGCAATGCAGCCATCTGCTCGTCCAATTTCTATGGAAAATCATCTCTCAAAAATCAGTTCTGATGACCCATCGTATCCAACTTAACACTTGTCGGATAGCAGAAGGCATAATTGTTAAGACCATTTTTTCCCAGACAAGGATATGAGCTGCCAACAAATAAAAGATGAAGAGAGATCAATCATCCTGTAACAGTAACTTAACAAGTATTTAGACAGTGAATTTATAAAACAAAAGGTTAATAAACACCACCATATATTAAAGCACATATATGTCTTCAGCGATCATGTAATGGTTCTAGCCCTGGGAAATAAAGCTATATAATATCTTTCTAGTCATTTGAATTAAAGACAGTGCAAAGTGATCTTTGTCCTTGCGTGCTAATACAATTTCACGGATATGCAAAATAAGGTCAAGTTATTTCAGTTTTTTAGTCACATTTAAGGGAGTTAAGAGAGGGACTGTTGGAAACCAACCTGTCGAGCAACCTGAGCCAGTCGCCGGTTGTCCCTAGAAGATTCGTTCATCATCTGCGGCTCTTGTGCAATGCATTCGTTCTCTTCCATCCTTCTCTTAGAAGTGCTCCCTTCAAAAGAAGATTTTTGACCAGGGTTTCTTGAGGAATTCTTGCGCTTCCTCTGGAAAGTGTATTTGAGAAGTCTACCGTTGTCTGCACAACTAGGAGATCTATTTGATTGTTCTGATGCTTTCACGTCTTTTAATTCAGAATTCATTAATGATACTCTCACATCTTTTAATTCAGAATTCATCAATGATGCATTCACATCTTTTAGTTCAGAATTCATCAATGATAGATCAGCAGTAGCATGGTCAAATTCAGAACTTGGAGCCTCTGAATTCTCCACAATATCACTTTCCTGCACTATCAACACAGGCACATCTATCAACCCCATGTCCTTGTCTGCAGCATTCTCGCCAGCTTCAGCTTCATTAATCTCCTTCATACTCACAGTAACACTTGTTGACCTTGATATAGGATCCATATCAATTAACATCAACCCATGATCCAGACGGGGAAATGCCTTCATCCTTGCCTCATTCTGGGTCGTGTTTGGTCGATCTTCATATGATTTAACACCACCATTACCTAAATAGGCAAAAGTCCTGCAGCGTGAAAGAACAGAAGACGGCTGACCGGGTTTCGTAAGCAGACCAGTTGAGGTAGTAATGCCATTCTTACTATTCATTTTCCTTTTTCTTTTTCCCTTCCGAATGGTCTTAACTTCGTCCATATAATAACGGTTACTGTGCTGCAAACTTTCTTCCAACCCACTGGGAGTTCTTGTCATGTCTACATTGCCAGCTTTGACAGAGGGTTGGATGCATGCCTCTTCATGGGACCTATCATTTTCATTGACTGAAGTTGGTTGCCGAGATTTCATGAGCTCACTAGGACAATATTGGCGCGAGGTTTTGGCTTTCCCAAATCGAGTCTTTCGTCTTCTTAATGTGCGGACTTTAGAAGGCTTTTTGGTTTCTCCCACACATGGGTTATTAATTACTTCCATGCTGTTGTCCCTAATAGAGGGGGAATTACAGTTTCCTTCCTCCTTGTCACTTGCTTTGGTGCCCAACTCATTCTTCCCATGGGAAATGTGATTGTCTACATATCCAGAAGGCAGCACCTTTTCATCAAGTAAATTTCTTTCAAAAGCACGAATTCTTTGTGTACAACCATTTCTGAGCAGCTCAGGCTCCTTACTTCCCATGATTATTGACGCAAGGTCAGAGTCAGGGGCGTAAAATTTATCCAAATCAGAAACACTCAACTGCTCACTTTGTTTCATTTCATTACAGCATTTATGGTCAATACCTCTACTCACTGGGATGTTGTCCAGGCCAGAAGTTGGAACAATTTCATGTCCTGAACCTTGACAAGAGAGTAAGATGGGCTCAGGTGTTGGACTTTCGGAAAATGATGCGTCTTCCCTTGTGATTTGTCTATCCAAAGGCTTCACTTGGTTGCTATTTACCCTCTCCAATTCACTCCATACTTGTTGCAACTCTGATCTCAAATCAGTTATGATATCCTCTGCCTCTTGGAGCTGTGCTTCAAGCTCATCAATCCTTCTTTGTTGGCTTGAGGATGTTATCTCTGCTTCACTTGTCTATAAATTGAAATGTTGGTAAATGCAGTATAAGAGCAGGCACTTATGGTAACTACAATGAGTGAGTAATCAGTAGAAATTCCATAAGTTATATACGACACTCTTGTATCATTCAATGTGCACATGGGTTTATTACAAAGAGAATCAAAAGAACCTCCTAGCAATACCAGACAAGGCACAAGTGGTATATCACAGGAATTTCAAAATGTGGAGATTAGTTAAGCCAAACAGTATGGTGACTATTTTTGGGCTAACGTTCACTGTAAACATTAACAAAGAGAAATGGCAGAAGCTTATTCAGAACGGTAACATTGTCAGCATAACCGTATAACTAGTAATTAGCATATGGAAACACTTTCTTGCTGTTCAGAAATGCAATTGCTTTAACAGCAGACGCAAAGACAAACAATTTCAAAGTGAAGCTTCTTCAAAGTTCAAAATAAAAATGGCTTCTTTCGCCACAGTGAATGCAATTACAAAAAACACATTCACATTCAATGCAAACTAAATTACCAAGATTCATGAAACCTTCTTTCCAAACAAGACCATAATCGGATCATCAAAACTAGTAAAAGAAAAAGAACAAAACTTTCGACGATGCAAAATTCGAAAAAGAAAAGGCAAACCTTGGAATCGATCATTTGCTTTAAGCGGAGAAGCACGCGAAGCGACTCATCTTTGGTAGAACGCAGATCGTGCTGAAAGCGAAGAGCTTTGTGCTCCGACGCCATTACTCTCGCCGCTGCCTCCTTCGCTGTGTTCAGAATAATCTCCGCGTACGCCTTCTTCACAGCCACCATTTTCTGCATCGTCAACAAAACAAAAATTGAATAAGCAGATAAACACTGATTTTTGAAAACAAAGACTTGAAATTGAGACGGTGTAGTGGCGGCGACGGTGGTGGAGCCGTCAGTGGTAGTGGTGGTTAGGAAAAAAAAGTTCTTTTTGGAATTTCACCTGTGCCTCGTCTTCCATTTTCTCTTCGGGGCCAACGAACTAGTGAACTAGTGAACTAGTGAGAGTGGCCTAGAGAGAGAAAAGGGGAGGTTATTGGTTATTTGGTCATGTTTTCCCCTTCGGTTGTTTGCTGTATAGCGTGTGCCTTTGTCTGTTACGAAACTGGAAGTCTGTTCTCTCTCACATGTTACGTAATTACCCCTCAACTAGGCTTTGAATTACGATACTGACACTACGCCTTCTCGCGTTCCCGTTCCGTTATGGTAAGGACAGGAAGTCTTGGAGAGAGAGGCTTTGAAATTGAAGACGACATCGGAATCGTAGTTGAACTATTTTCATGATGTCGTACGATTCGGGGTTGGTTTGGTCATTTTCTACTGCTGAAGGCGCGCAGAGGATGGATGGGGGTGCCCACCGAGAGCATAAATGCATTTTTTGGAGGATCAAAAAAGACGCGGGTCGCGTTTCTTTTGTAAACGCGCGGTCACGCAAGGTTATGTTCAATTTTTAAAAATTTGAAAACACTGAGCAGCAGGAGGAGGAGAAGGAGGAGGAGGGGCGTGGCGTCATGTCTCATCTCTGCTGTTGTATGTTACGTTTCGTGTTGGTGTGTGATCCAAAGTTTGGCAGACAACCAGCACATCAGGAGATTATTGGGTCTCTGTTATTTATTGGGCTTTAGATGTTGAGATTGAGCTTGATTTATGGGCCAAATTGTGGACTGAGCAAGCTATTGGGTCAGGAAAAACAAGCCTGTTGGAAAACATATGATTTGGTGTTTTTTTTCTTGAACTGTTCTAATTTATCGGAGTGCAATTCGAACTTGGTTGTAAGAAAACATGCACATTGTCATAACAAACTGACATAATCTACAATTGCTAGCATTTGGTGCCTCTTAAGTGGACTACATTCTAGTCTACTATTCATATGGTAAGAATGGAGAAAACTTCAGGAGTGATAACTTCGTTTTCTTTTTTTTTTTTTTTTTTACTCCGTCAGTTTCTTCGCTTTCGCTTTTTTTTTTTTTTTTTTTTTTTTTTTGTTAGTTTTTAAATAAAAGATTTCTTTTTTTTTTTTTTCTATCTTATTTATTTCAATAAAGGACATACATAATACTCACACACACATACACGGATGCTAGGATTCAAATACATGACATTCCATAAGGGAATAATTATTCTAAACCACTATACTAGAGGAACCTTTACCAGTATCGCATTTCTTAACAATGCGTATATCAAATTATGTGAATTTGTAAGACACAAGTGAATCTAAATTTTTCTTTACAAATATAGTTGATATTCTGAAAAAAGAAAAAAGAAAAAAACAAGGGACATATTTTTCTGTACAATTGAAAGGTGTGTAAGAAAAATCTTTGTTCAACAAAATTTGATGAATATAGAAATAGTAAAAAATTCCAACCCAATCTAAAAGCTAGTGTGGAAAAAAAAAAATCTAAAAGCTAGTGGCGGTCAAAGATGCATATTCCGATAGTGTGATTGGCTGCGCACTAAAGGCCAATCATCATGGATAAAATAAGGAATTAATTATAAACTAACGAACTAATTAGAGAGCTAATAAACAAAAGATTACGGTATTGATTTCGGTTGCAGTAGGCAGCCCCTGTAGGCTGTAGGCTGTAGGTGGACGACCTAACTCAAAAAAAAGCATCTGGTCAAATAAACCCTCAATTAAAAACACCTTCCCAACTAATCAAAGCTTCGTTTAGTCAAATAATTGATCAAACCCCGTAGTCCAATTGTCAATCTCCATCATACACTCAGAAAATTGAAGTCAGGGATTCATTTACTTTATGAATAAATTGAAAACCCATTCAACCAAATTTCCATGCGACTGTTTGCCTGGGCCTGGTGGTGGTAAGTGGTAATTTTCCACATCCAACACCCGGAAGAAGAGAAGTCAATGGCCCTCTTCTCTTTGAGACTTTCCCAATCAGATTCAGAATACGCGCAAATTTGACAAGTCCCTGGAGCCTTTTAAGCCTCAAACACGCACAACCCATCATTTGTTCCATAGTGAATTGCTTGAAGATCATTGCTTTTCTCAATATGATTGGCTCAATCTCTAGCATAACTGTTAGGATATGGATTGCCATATTGTTCTTGAGCTGTGCTTGTTATTGTTCTTATGGGGCTGTGGTTGAGGACGATGTGAAGTGCCTTCAGAGCCTTAAGCAATCTCTGAAAGACCCACTTGGAAAGCTGGCCTCTTGGGATTTCAGGAACACGTCTGTGGTTTCCATGTGCAAGTTTGTGGGAGTTACCTGCTGGAACGATCGAGAGAACCGCATATTAAACCTTGAGCTCAGAGACATGGAGCTTTCTGGTGCTATTGCGAAGGACATAGAGTACTGTTCCAGCCTTCAGAATCTGGATCTTGGAGGCAACAAGCTTTCTGGGTCGATCCCTCCTGATATTTGTACTTGGTTGCCATTTTTGGTGACCTTGGACTTTTCCAACAATGATTTCTCAGGCTCAATCCCAACTGATCTGCAACACTGTAAGTACCTGAACAATCTGATCCTTTCGGATAATAAGCTTTCTGGGACTATACCTTATGAATTTTCTAGCTTGGTTAGGCTCAAGAGGTTTTCAGTGGCCAATAACAAGTTGACTGGTACTATACCTGCTTTTTTAGACCGTTTTGATAAGGCTGATTTTGCTGGGAATAGTGGGCTTTGTGGAGGGCCTCTTGGGTCAAAGTGTGGTGGGTTGAGTAAGAAGAATCTTGCTATTATAATTGCTGCTGGGGTGTTTGGTGCCGCGGCTTCTTTGTTGTTGGCTTTGGGGCTATGGTGGTGGTACCATTTGAGGTTGAGCAAGAAGAGGAAGGGAGGTTATGGGGTTGGAAGAGAAGATTGGGCTGAGAGGTTGAGGGCTCACAAGCTTACTCAAGTTTCCTTGTTTCAGAAACCCCTTGTGAAGGTTAAGTTGGCTGATTTGATGGCGGCTACGAATAATTTCAGCCCCGAAAATGTGATCATTTCATCTAGAACAGGGACTACTTATAAGGCTCTACTTCCTGATGGGTCGGCTCTGGCAATTAAGCGGCTTAGTACTTGTAAGCTTGGTGAGAAGCAATTTCGGTTGGAGATGAACCGTTTAGGACAGCTTAGGCATCCGAATTTGGTACCCCTTTTGGGGTTTTGTGTCGTGGAGGAGGAGAAGCTTCTGGTTTATAAGTACTTGTCAAGTGGGACTTTGTATTCTTTGTTGCATGGAAGTGGTTCTGGATTGGATTGGCCAGCTAGATTTAGGATTGGTTTAGGTGCTGCAAGGGGACTTGCTTGGCTTCACCACGGTTGTCAGCCTCCAATTATGCACCAGAACATATGCTCAAATGTGATCCTCCTTGACGAGGATTTTGATGCTAGGATAATGGATTTTGGCTTGGCAACGCTTACGGCTTCTGATTCTAATGAAAGCAGTTTTGTTACTGGAGACTTGGGAGAGCTTGGCTATGTAGCTCCAGAATATCCAAGTACTATGGTTGCTTCACTGAAAGGGGACGTTTATGGATTGGGAATAGTGCTTCTGGAACTGGCAACTGGGCAAAAGCCACTAGAAGTCACCACTGTTGAGGAAGGATTTAAGGGTAACGTGGTGGATTGGGTAAATCATCTAACAAGTTCTGGTCGAACCAAGGATGCCATTGATAAAGCTCTCTGTGGAAAAGGGCACGATGAGGAAATTTTGCAATTTCTGAAAGTTGCTAGTAATTGTGTTGTTTCTCGGCCCAAGGACAGGTGGTCTATGTACCAGGTTTACCATTCATTGAAGAGTATGAGCAAAGACAACAGTTTCACTGAACAAGATGATGAGTTTCCTTTGATTTTTCGCAAGCCGGATAAAGATTCAGCTTAGGTTTGAATCAAAGAGGGGAGGGGGATGGCAAATGGTTAGAGACTTTCATCTTGAGGTAAGTTCTCATAGGTTCATATGTAAATGGTGTGTGATCTCCCCTATTTTTTAGTATAGCTGTATAATACGATAAACTACCAAAACAGTACGGTCCTGCATCCCAATAAATTATTTGTTTGCCCTTTGTTATATGAAACAATACTCAAATGAGGTCCAGTGATATTTACAATATGCTTCCCTGATTTTGCCCATAAAATTTGGTGTGAAAGATGACAAATGGAACTTTTAATGTAATACAACAGTAAAGCAACCAGAAGATTCCTTGCTTTGTAGGGTCATATCTACCCAATCTGTTTGAAATTGCTATTTTACTACTTTAACAGGGTAATTGTTTGTTTTGTTTTTCCTTCTAATAATCAGATTCAATGCACTCTTAAAGAAATTAACCCTGTCTATGAATATGATCAATTTATGCCTTGGCTAGAAGAACCAATGGATAGCTTATAGGCCTGTACTGAATAATTGATAGAACTGAGCCTGAACTATTGCTAGGCCAGAACTGAACAAACAATCCAGACCTTTGTAGAATCACATATGATATGAACCTGATCACAGTAACTTTTAATCTTCTTGTCCTGTCACGAGGATTTCAAATTATCCAAGACTTAGATTCGAAACCGATGACTTTGGTTTCTCAAAAAACCTCTGTTTTCTTCTTCTGATGATGATGACTTTGGTTTTCTGAAACACTGTCAAGGAAATTGTTTCTTTTTCTGATGAGCTTTCTGTTTATGAGACAAGAAGTAACATGCCCACTATTTTGTTCCTCTATAATTTCGATCAAGAGAACTAATACTAAGATATTCACAGAAACTTTACCTCAGCTGTATCATTCCGTTTTCCCGACAATGCTAGTTTCCCCTGCATCATATACACACACATGCACAAACACAAACACAGTCAGCAAATAATTGTTTGAGCCACGGAGTGCAGTTACCTGTTATTGACTAGTTGTGTAATCCTTACCACTAGAATTAAAGTGGGACGATACTTTTCATAAGGCCAACTTTACGTTCACGCTCAAATTGACCAGCTCAGGAAAGTTTTGTGCAGCAATGCATGCCAAGTCTAACTTGTAGGCTTAGGCCACTACTACCAGCATATTCAGCACGGCACCATTTAGATTTGAGTTTCATCACGATAGCACGAGATGAGACAGGCCATTATAGACATGAATAAGCCAAATACGAATTTCAAAAGTCAACACTCTCAAGGAAGGAATAGTCGATGAAAAGATGCTATTATGTCGCGCCCGTTTGGTTGCTTGGACTGGACATGATTGAGACTGAGCCAGTCCAGTGCTATGCTATGGAGTTTCACCACTCTAGATAAGACTTGTAAGCTACAAACAATATTTAATGTGTCTAGTCCATTCTCAATATTTATAAATTCCCCAAACACCGGGACATTAGTCAAATTTAATTTTTATAGTACAATCCAGTCCGCGCCACCAAACGAGCTCAGCAATGGAGTTTAATGGAGGTGACACAATGACCAGAAAAGGGATACACCTTAGTGTCTCACCTCCAACCTCTATTATGGCTCTCCTACATTGTTGTATCATTTGGGATTCAAAACTTGAGGTTTACTTGTGTCTCTAGCTTGACTATTGACATAAACTCTCCCCATTTTAAGTCAATAAGACAGTGATAAGTTTAATTAGTGACACAAATTGCTGAATTAATTATTGATACCAAAACCAATCTCACAAAACCAGTGAGTTAGGTTTTGCTCAATCGCAGCTTCACCGTTTAAAGCCATGCACTCTTATCTGTCACACAAAGTAATTCGGTAAGACTAATTTTAGGGGAAAAAATCTCTACTTCCTTGATTCTTTCAATCAAAGGAGCTGCACGGGAGGGGAATCTGTCTCCCAAGCAACAAAAAGGGCTGTAATTAATTTTGAATCTCAGTTACTTTGGACCAAGTCTTTCCCTCTCGAATCAATCAAAATCAAGCGAGAAAAGGAAGCAAAAGAAAAAGCAGCGAGCAGAGTTTTAGCTCCTTCGTTTTCACTTTGGATATTCATTATGCTAACTTTGAACTGAATGCGTTTCTACTTTTTCTTTTTTTTCTCTTTTCTCTTTAGATCAAATATTTTTTTTTACGTTGGTGGGTTATGTTTTAAAGTCAAGTGGGATGGACAAATATGAAATAACTATTTGGCCGCATATAAAGACTCGATTTATGTGAGAAAAATGACAGAATCTGCCAATGGAAGAAAAACCATCAGTTTCTTTTTTGATACGAACGATGTTCTACTTTGATATAATCTAAATTACGGGGAGAGGAATTTGAACTCTGTTGTAAAGGTGAGGAGCACGTCCATAGCCAACTTGACTAAGAGTTCGTTTGGGAGTGCTTTTGGAACAGTTAAAAGCGTTTTCTGACAACCAAAAGCGCTTCTGACAGGGTTTGGCAGAAAAGTTTAAAAGTGCTTTTGGGCTATATAAGCGCTTTCTGGAGAAGCACCTGCCATGTGCTTCTTCAGAAGCACTCCCAAGTGCTTTTCCCAGAAGCACTTTGAATTTTTATGAAAATTTCAACGTCTTTATAATAAAAGCGCTTTTGGTAGAAGCGCTTATACGTAGAAGTGCTTCTGCAAAAACCATCCGTTTCTTATTAACTATAAATAAATAAATAAAAATTCAAAGTAAATGAAATGGCAACATTATTGGCAAAAGCACCATTCAAGGATTTCCTTGAGAACAGAGCACCTTTATCGGAAGGGAATTGCTTTATCTGGGAAACACAAACAAACAACAAAAGCCACTTGAAGAAAGCCTAACAATTAGAAAGAAGAAATGAATCATACAAGTCACAACAAGACCATTCCATTCCATGTATATTGTGGGGGACGACTACAGAATAGATAAAAGCTTTCTTGGGTGCTGTTCCAATTCTCTTATAGTATCTATCTACTTGGTCTGGTTTTTAAAAAGCAAAGCAAAATCCAATCCATGAACTTGTCTCCAATCCAAAGCATTTTCAGATACAATTCAATGCAAAGTTCCCATCTTTCTCAAGATTCTTGAACGTGTATATTTTGTTTGAGATAAGCTTCGGGTTCTTTTATCCATGCGCATGAAAAACTTTACAGTGAGGCTGCAATTCCGTCATAGCACACCATGCTCATAACTTGGACATCAAATCAAACTAGTGAGCTTAAAGCCTTAAAACCTACCTTCCCTCCAAAATTTTTAATAACTAATACTCCACAAATCCTAATTCCTAAAAGCGGAGAAATTGATAAATGACTGCACAAATTGCAGAATGCAGATATATATAACTTATTGTACATGCATCCAGCTCCGCTTCTGATGCTTCAAAATTCCCTTCACGCCGGCTACGCTCGGGTAGGTGGTTGTCTAGTCTTGACTGCTCTCCTGAATACACATAGTAGGAGGCACTAAAAAGATGAGAGGCAAAGAAATTTCATTCTCTGTTTTTCTTTTTCTTTTTTCCATGCTGTTCTCCTTAAAGGATGAAATGAATAACTTTTATATCCATGGTATGGCAAAACTAGCAGAAATATCAATCCCTGTTTCTATTTTGTGCTTACACTGTAACATAATTTGTTCAATGGGGTAGTGGATAAAAATCAATTGGGATTACATTCAACACCTAATGGGGCAAAAAGAGTTGATGAACTTTCAATAAATTAACATAAATTATTAAAACAAAAGGGAGGAGTTAGCTCTACATGTTCCCTCCGCTAACAAAAGTTGTCAAGTTCTTTCTCCAAGGCCTTTAGGTGTTCCTTATAAAAATAAGAGAAAGTTTGATATATATAAAGAAGCTTTTAATAAAGAGGCAGACAGTCATCAACTTCCATATAATCTCAATTTTAGGGTCTTGATGGTTTCTTTTACTGAAGCTGACTGATAATATAAAATATAACCCACACCTAGGCCAAGTTTGATTCTTCATCTTCTTGTTACGTACCCACTATCCAATCAAAAATGAAAAATACTAACATACAAATAAAGAAACAGAGATGCATTTCCTTTTAACCAAAAAGGAAGAAAACCAATATTCCAGGAAGATGGCAGAGCCACTTGTATGTAAAAAAATTCACTATCACGTCTCCGAAAATCTGAGAGCGAATATATGAATTCAATTTATGGAAACAATATATATTCTCTTTCTGCTTACTGTGATCTGGCTTTTCCTTTGATTGGTTTTCTTTCCGACAGTTTCAGTGTGCGTGTCCAAATCATATTTCAGCAACAATACTTATGCTAAAGAAAAATATACCGGTAAATATTGATGAAGGAAAAGAAATGTACCTGTTATGAATGGGATCAGGTCCATTTGGTACTCTTCTCTTGCTCACGTAAATAAAGGAGGAGTCCCAAACAACAGCATGCTTCTCTCTTCCAATTAACTTCCAATGCTTGAACATTTTGGTGGATGAAACTGTAACAGTTGATTTTTCGGTACTGCGGTTTACTAGAATTCCAGCAAGGAAAAACCAGAAGACACCCAGAAGCAGAAGAGCTCCAAACAGAGTTCTTAAAACCTTCCTGTCACTCTCCATATCTATGTATATAATATATGTCTCTCTAGCTCCCTCTCTGGCTTTCCACCCAAGCCTAATGGCTGGCCATTTTAAACTGAGATAAAGATGAATCAAAAAGACCAATGCTTGTGGGGAGAGGACAAAGATGAACTCTCAGACAAGCAAGCACAAGCAGAACACAGAGAGAGAGAGAGAGAGAGAGAGAGAGAGAACAAAAAGGACAGAATAGAACAAATGATTAGGTGGTCTGTGACTTGGCGGGTAGAGTTGTTGGCTCTATTTAAAGGCTCATACAGGAAGATACTGTGTTGAGATGTGTATCTGAGTGAGAGAGATAGAGAGAGAATAAAAGAGAATAAGAAAAACAGAAAAGTTCGTTATTCTAGCTCTTTTGTGTGTTGAATGGGTCCATTTGAGCCCTCTTTCTCTGCTTTGGATTGTACATTTTCATGCAGCTAATACGGGACCTCACTATCCCCCTAACCGTTACGTACTTCCAAGTTTCTAAAAGACATAGAGCCTGGAGCTACCCTATTATGTAACAACGAGGACTGACGAACCACCCATTTCTAGTTTGCTGGTTCCAGAGTACAAGTTAACAACTAACGCCCTGATTTCTTAACTAAACTAAGTTCAATCAATCACATTATCAACGACCTCACCCAAACAACAGCACCCAAATGATATTAACAATGCTAATAAACAAAAAGGTGTTGGGCTAAAACTTTGGCCAGAGTTAGGAGATTTCTTGCTTGGTAAGGATTGTGCTATAAGCCTGTCTCTAATAAAGTAATAATTAAAGTTAAAAAGAAGGGTCTGATGCAACTTTTCATTCAAACATACCAATAGAATAGCTCATTACCTGCCTAGGCAAATTGTTCCAATTTGCCCTCAAAATTTGGTGAAATTTCCAAACAGGACTGAAAAGTCCCACCAAAGGGGCCAAAAAGAAAAGAAGGTGAATGCTTTAGAACTATCAATAGAACCATCGAGTAACTATTTTGATGCAATCAATTCATTACTGGACCAGAAGGTTTTTCTGTCCACTGAATATATGATAGATCATTTATCACAAAAGCATGCACTATCCACTCTTCAGGAAAAGATTATCTCATCACGGTTTTGAACTAGTTTCATTCATACGCAATGGATGGGCAAAACTTGAAAGGCTCTATAATTAATGTACTAAATTCAGTAACGCAGAACACAGATACAAACTGGAGAGGCAAACAAACAAGATAAAGTACATTATTAGCAACCGCCTAGGCCAGAAGATGAGTTTCTTTACATCATCTATAAATAATGTAAGGAATCTTTCTGAAATCTATTATCTTATTCATCAAAACACAAGAAGGGTATCAGAGGGAGTTTCCCATAAAACCAGACTCATAAATGTCAGCATCACCCCTAGCATTAGAAGAATATACTCTGAGACTCTGAGAGTGACAGTTAAAGGAGACGCCACTGCAATCTAAGTGGATCGACCACGCCACAAATCCTAAAACATAATACTTACTAAATGTCCAAAATAATCCAGGAATCAGAAACATAGAAACCTGAAAAGGTGTTGCAAAAACCTGAAAACTATCATGCCACATATGATTATACATATATTCATGGTCACCATTTACAGAAACTGATGTGTATTAAAGCTTACCCAGCCGACAGACAGAAATATATAAAGAAATGCTACCAGAAATGTTTCCTATCTAACACTATTTTAAAATCAGCTTTAACTACTTTAATTTCAAAATTCTCCTTGGTACTTTCAAGGCTAGACATAATTAATTACATTAACATATCCTTAATCTTTAATCCATGACTCCCTTGAAAGAACTATTGTTAAATCCAATGATAAATGTAGGGTAAATCCTTCAATAATAGGAGAGATGAGGTCCACCAAAAGGTCCCAACTCTTTCCTCACAATACAAATAAGCACATGTGGAGACTAGAGTCTATCAATTGACTTGGGTCCATCAATAACAGTTTACCTAGGGATCCCAACTTCCACAAGAGGGAGGGGAGAAGCCAAATGGGGCAAACATTAGCTATGAAAGATCATAACTAAGCAAAATGCAGATATCACCTAATATGAAGCAACAATAGAGATGCAATTCAAAATCATGGACAATTCTCAGATGTTGTAAGATGCCCACTCAGTCATAACTGGCCTTTCGATAACAAAGATTGGAGAATAAGTATCACTGCCAAGAACTTGAAAGATATAATCACAAACCTGAAAGAATTCAATACCCTTGCCAGAAAGTAATACTAACATGAATTTGAGACAATGCTTTAGATGCCACAGATTTGTCTACCCAATTGTAATAAATACATAGTTATCCAATCAGAAATGCTAATGCTTCTTTGTGATGCACCATATGTGAGTGTCAGTGTGCTAATCAAAACTACATAAAAATGAGATTCAAAAGTCACAAGTAATCCAAACATCAGGCCCTCATCCCACAGTGAAGGCTTGAACAAGGATCAAAGTTAAGATTTCTGTCTAAAAAGAGCGTACCCTACCTAAGTTTATGTCTTCATAAAACGCCTGACTAATTCCTACTAGTCTTTCCCACTCCCTATGAAACTTCTTTGTGCTTTCAGGAAAACCCATCTACAAAACTCAAAGTATTGATCAAGGAGGTCCACCATTGAATCAAAATTCAGCTCTCTTTATGAAATTTGTACTTTTGGATACTGTCACCTCTATTAGGTGAACCTATATTGTGCTTTCAAGGGCCCAGTGTTGATTCTGTGCTACAAAAACCAACAGATTCAGGTCAAAAGTATTTTCTTTCACCTTAGATCTTATCAGCATAAATGATCAATTAGTGGGGTCAATCAGTTTGATGCTAAAGGCTATGTGCTCTTCTATGACCTCCATTCCCGACCTTGAATGAAGACCACACACCATAATGAATCAAATAAAGTTTAGAACTATACAATTGGTAGATCAAGAGACATACTCTGTGTACCATGCGTATCTTGCATTGACGGGAAAAACATTTACAAAGAGTAGAGGTACAAATATGAGAAATTTAGGTGGTAAAAGAATTTCAGCAATTCAGATATTGGGAGAAGATAAACATTTAGGAATTCGACCAATTAACTCTACCTACAAAGTTACTTTTCCAGTAAAAAATATATATACAAAAAATTAGTTTCAGATTCCTTACATATTTTTTACAAAACTCAACTTTAACATAAAAAAGTTTAACTCATCTTCTAACAATTGTTGATCAGTCAGGAGATCAAATTTACCAGCGAAGTCTTTGACCTGCAATATATAAGTCCAAAACTCAGAGAGATGTAACAACATGGATATAAGCATAAAACTATATATATATATATATTTTTTTTTTTTTTTTTTTCTTCCTTTTTGATCAGAGAGATGTAACAAACACAATTGAATATACACTGCCCGTGAAATGGCAATTTACCGTGCAAGTCCATTAGAGCTGATGCAGCATGGCTCAAAGTTGTTAGGGTAAATATTTCATTGTGTCTCAACATAGCAGAAGAGAATGCACAATTGCATCCTCCAAGAAAACATCATAATTTCAGATTCAGTTTCCCCTCCCATACGTTGGCTTCTGTCAAACTTCTACTGCTACTCCCCGAAGTAACTTTTCTTTCTTCTTCGTCTTCTCGGCCCACTTGGGTCCATAAATAACCAAGTGTGTCCTACCAAACCGACGATCGGTTATCTGCAGTACCATATTAGATTATTTGCACTTAGAAACCCGTAAACCACACAGCTTCCACAATACTCATACATACATAACAATACTATCTGGTATTAAACACTAACAACTCTATTCATGGTGGATAAATAGCAAGTAGTACAATTTCATCAAGAAGAAAAAGAAAATTTATAGAGGGAGGTCTTTCTTTCTATGGCTGCATGGGAGCATAATTGAAGAAGATAATCAACGGATATGGATGAAGCCACTTTGGTAGTATTATTTATCATTTTCTTAATGTACTTCTACCTTGCTTGCACCTTCAAATTTAACCCATCCCAAACATTTTAAAGTTATGTGGTCAGTATACTTATCTATTAACTTTAGCTTCAAAATGCTTTATTCATAGACAAATTGCTGATAGTTTGCATTACCTTCACAAGGCATCCACATGAATCCAGCATGTCAGTCCTTAGTGGGTACTCAACTACCTAGACCATGAAAATTGGAAGATTAATGAAGAACTAGCAAAAACATAAGCACATAGCAGAATGTTTATAATATTAAAAACGACTTACTATAAAGGTATCTTCTCCAACTAAGGCTGAATTTGATATTTGATCCATGAGTACAGCATAGTCAACTTCCATATACGGAGGGGTAACACTAATGTAATCAAATGGTTCTTTACCTGCAGAAAATTGAATTTTATTTTGTAATAACTGGATACAACGAAAAAAAAAATTCAAACATGGTTATTTATGTTCCAAGAAATATGACAAATCTAAAATCATAAGACAAGTTTTGCACGATGGATTATAGTAACTCTGTACATGATCCTTCGTCTAAAATTGAGAGAGAGAGAACAGCAGCAGCAGCAGCAGCACATACCTGCAAGTTGCTTTGCACGTTCTATGAACTTTTCAACGCGAACAGTATGTATAACTGAAACATCAAGAAACCCAGTCCATTCCAAGTTTGGACGTAAAACATCTGAAACGACCCATGGATCCATCTCAACAAAATGTACCTGGAAATTTGTAATTGTAAAAGGTAGAAATTTCATAAGGATGAAAGTTCCCTGACCCAAAGATTGAATATGACAGAAACAAAAAGAAAAAGAAATGCATTGAAAATCATGTTGGAAATACCAGGTTCAAATCCCAACTGCACCTAAAGTCAGAAAACTACCTCAGACTGTTATTTGTTCAGTGATGATTCAAGACCCCACCGAAGAGGGTACATAACTATACTGTGCTGAAAATATAACAGTTTACAGTAGCAAGAGATATGATAGAAATTTTGAATGGTACCTCAGAACATCCTCGACTAATAGCTTCAATTCCAACAGATCCTGTACCACTGTACAAGTCTAACCAACGGCCAGGCCTTAAGGATGCAGGACAGCCACCGGCAGCCTAAGATTTGTGGCACAAATATTAGTTCACAAGCACAGAACTTTGGGTATTGACAAGTAAATTTCCCAAATCTGATGAAAAGCAAATACCAAACATCAGAAACTCTGTTTTATAATACGAGAATCTTCAATTGTTTGCAGAAGAATGTGAATAGTGGATGGCCTCTAGGCTCTCTACAGATGCAAACTAATAATTACCTGCAGGATATCAAAGGCTGCACCTTTGACGACCTCCATCATTGGGCGTACATCCATGCCCTTTGGAGAGAGCAACTTCATTCTTCGAGCCTTTCCTCCAAGCACCTACAGTGGCAGAAAACATTGGCAGCAATTCAGATTCATGAAGTCTTAATATAATTGGTACAAATGGTCTCCCTTGAGAAACATGTACTGTGTACAGTACACCCGCCCACCCTTTAGCTAATCAACAAGTAGAAACTAAATGTGTTCTTTAACTTGCAATAACAAATGATAAAAGACACAAATTGGAAAAATGTGCACACCGTAAGCAACTTATGGGTAGTTCGCGGGGGCTTAGGCTCCTTTGGTGAGATTTGCTTGTCTTTTCCTGCCTCTTTTAGCTCCTTCTTCCTCTTGCTCTAACATTCCAATTTCCAAATAAGTAAAAAAAATATGACCAAAATAATCAACAGATTAATGGACGAGCAAGAGAGAGAGAGAGGAACCTTCGGAGACGGCTCAGATAAGGCCTCGTCGGGGTTGAAACCGTACTGCTCCATCAACACTCGCTTGGCCTGACTCCACGATTCCTTACTCGACTCTGCAACCATTAAAACAGAGCACAAACTTCCTTTTTTTTTCACTAAATAACGAAATTTGAATCCAAATAAACTGTTTGAAAAAAAAAGAACGATAAGGTTACTCGAAGAGAGGACGATGACAGGGGATGGCCGTCGATTGTTGCGTTGTATGGAGCAGAAATTGAAGCGGGGAAGACCGGTAGAAGACGAGCCAAAGTCCGGAGATATTATATTCACTCCGAATGGAGAGAGAATCGGAGATGAAGAAACCGCCATTTCCACTTGCCTGAGCTCCAGAGAATGGAGCGTCTTTCTCACTTATCTCTGAAAAATATGAACGTATCTCTAACATGGGCCGATGACGATCCAAACGGCCCATTTATAGATGGGCTCGGTTAGAGTGATTAGGGGCCCATTTGCAGGCCCAACAAATAGTACCTTCCTCGAAGTTGGTGCTTTGATAACAGACACACGTGCAAGATCATCCAACCAAACCATCCAATAAGGATCTCGGAAAGCTAGTCATACACAAACGCGACACGAAGACAGATGAAGTGCAACAGGAAAAAAAAGGTCACTGTACAACAACAAAATACATGCACGCACGGAGTCTGCCATCACAGTCATAGTACCACGTGGCGGGCGCTGAACCGTTGTTGATAAGATGCGTGGACAGAGCGCGTCACAACGTCCACCACCAACTGTCTGACTGTTTTTAATAAATAAACGAAAAATCTAATTGGAGTTAATAATTACTGCGTCGTGATCAAGATTGACTTTTCAACAGCGGGCAAAGACTACAAATTTGCCCAGTTCCGAAGCCGAGAGAGAGAGAGAGAGAGAGAGAGAGAAGTATCTCCCGCTGCGTCTAATTAATTGTTTAATTGTTTAATTGCTTAATTGCTTAATCGATCAATCACAGACTGAAAGAGAAGAAGAAGAAGCAGCAGCGGCACAAGTTGCCCAATCCGATAGAAAGAGAAAAATGGGAGCTTGTGTTTCGAGGCCGAAGGGCTGCACTTTTGGGTTTTCAAAGAAGAAGAAGAATGGCCGCCAAAGAAGAATTATTCGCAGGCGTGTTTCGTCTTCCGATCGCTCGCACCCTAAGTCTACTCTTACACTCCAAGGTCTTTATAATTGATTCTCTTACTGTTTGTTTGGTCCAATTTTTAATTTATTTTTGAAATCTTTTTTATTTCAATTTCGTTTAATTCGCTGAGAACTGACGAACAGGAAGTATGGATGCGCCGTGGTTTGATGCAAACTCGGTGATTGAGTCCGAGCGAGATGACGAGTTTTATAGTGTTCATGATGGTATTTTTTTTCCCCCTCACTTTTCAGTATTTTTACAAATTTTAGACTTTTTAAACATGAGGAATGGAATGGAATGATGGAATTAAGAAGTGGGTTGCTTTGATTTGCAGACGTGGTGTCTCTAAATGGGTCAGAAAGTGCATCCACTTTGAGCATTTCATCGCCAAAAGGTCACAATTTTTCTCGCCAGAGAACAAGGGAACCGCAACCACCATTGCATTCGACCTCTGCTGTGTCGGCAGATGAAGTTGTGGATGAGAGTGTTGGAGTGGACAAAATGCAAGCGTTGGAGCATTGTGGGATTCTTCAAAATGCTTGCTTGCCTTGTCTGGCTAGCCCCTCAGGTGACAAGAGAATAAACCCAGCCACACCAAGTTTGAGGAGGAAAGTTCTTTCCTTTAAATGGAGGGAAGGGCATTCTGCTGCAGCTACAGCAGCTGATCCTACACCCACATTATGTGAGTGTTGCCCATAGACTCAGTTACCCTTTTCTTATTATTGTGAATTTATGATACAACTTTATAATGTGGACTGGCAGCTGACTTCACCTTCTGTCTTTGTGTTAGTATCACCAAAGGCATTTGTGAAAAGACCACTTGCAGGTTCTACAATTCCATACTGCCCCATTGAGAAGAGTATGCCAGATTGTTGGTCACCTCTTGAGCCAAACACATTCAAAGTCAGGGGGAAAAATTATCTTAGGTGTGAGCATAGTATTTTGATGAGGTTTATTATTGTTATTATTTTATTTTCTAAATAATCTCGCTGATTTATTGTTGCATCAACTCTTCATTTGCTTGACAGAGATAAAAAGAAAGAGCCTGCTCCAAATTGCGCTGCATTTTATCCTTTTGCCGCTGATATTTTCTTATCTCAGAGGAAGATTGATCATATTGCTCGTTTTGTGGAACTTCCTGTTGTGAATTCAGTTGAAGATGTCCCTTCTATTCTTGTTGTAAATGTTCAGGTGCCTCTCCTTTAAAACTCTCTTTTCCTGGACTTTGTACCTCGTATTTTGTTTCATTATATTTTTTTGACTGGAAGTTGAAAAGTGCTGCGAATCTCTTATGGTTATTTTGTATTCTGATCATATTCTATCAGCATGTTCTTTGCGCCAGAATTTGAAATTCATAATCATAATGTGCCATGCTAAACTTGTTGATAAGTTCATAATCTGTCCTCTAGGCTAGGGAATAGTTTTTCTTCTAATGCTAAGCATTGCTATATAATTTTTCTCACATTCTATGTGTATTCTTCTATGCTGCAGATACCACTTTATCCAGCCAATTTTTTTCAAGGCGAAAGTGATGGAGAAGGAATGAATTTAGTTATGTACTATAAGATTTCTGAAAGTTTTTCAAAAGAGCTTCCACCTCATTTTCGAGAAAGTATCAGTGTAAGTTGCCTGAAGTCCTACTTGTGGCCGAATCCTGATTTTCAACATGTATAAAAATCTGATGTTTTTTGGCCTGGAAAACATACTTCATAGTAGACTCATGACTCAATTGTTGTGTTGATTTAGTACAACCAGTTGATTAAATATTTTGCGTGCTTGTTTTGTTCCTTGACAGAGATTAATCAATGATGAAGTGGAGAGAGTTAGAGGATTCCCTGTTGATACAATTGCACCCTTCAGGGAAAGATTGAAAATCTTGGGCCGAGTGGCAAATTTGGAGGATCTTCATTTAAGCACAGCTGAGAAGAAGCTAATGAATGCTTACAATGAAAAACCTGTTCTTTCACGTCCTCAACATGAATTTTATTTGGTAAGTTTTGGTTTAGATTTTTCTGCATGCCTTTTAGTAAAAAAGTAACAATCGCAGGTTACACCATATAGCGTTAGTTAGTTACTCATTCTTTTTCCCCATCATACTCTTACAGGGAGAAAACTACTTCGAGATTGATTTGGATATGCACAGATTCAGCTACATCTCTAGAAAAGGCATTGAAGCATTCCACGAGAGAATGAAGCTATGCATATTGGATTTTGGTCTCACAATTCAGGTAAACAATGTATTACATGATTCTGAGCATAACTTTTTTACCTCCTACTTATATCCATACCTGATCTGTGCTATGCATTGTATTTAAACAGGGGAACAAGGCAGAAGACTTGCCAGAGCATTTATTATGCTGTATACGGTGGAATAAAGTCGACTACAATAATAAATCATCATCTGGGGTTTTGAGTCAAAAGTCTCTGTAATCCCAACAAGAGCTTAAATACTGAAGGATCTTAAAACAATGAAGAACAGATAAACAAGTTAACTTCAACTATGAAGAACTCATAAACAAGTTAACTTCTACCAAACCACGGGTTTCTTGGACGCCAAAATTCGTCTTCTGAAGTCTCAAATTGTGACGTTTGAGCATCTTTGAGTTATTTGTATATATCCTCTTAAATGTAAAGTTTTGGCAGGAAGAGTAAAATAAAGAGAATAAATTTTTTATTTATACTCCCGTTTGATTTATGCTTGTGCTCTCTACGAAGGTTGCAACCGCTGATTAATCAGCTTTTTGGCCATTGCATTACATCCGTCCGCTACAACCTGATCATAATCTGCCTCTTTTAATCCTCTTCCTTCGGTCTTTTTCCCCTTGTGGTAGGCTTGGTGTTCTGATCCATTTTATCCGTTGATTATATCTGAAAGCTGCTCTTACATATGATCCTTCAGCTTTCTGATCAATATTTCTATCCCTTTTCTTAAATGTTCTTTGCGTTATCTGCATGCTGATGATCAATAATGTCATCTTCCCAAATGTCTATGAGAAGAGCATGGCCGACAAAGATTTTCATTCATAATCGGCAGGTACCAACGACACACACGTGCATCCATAATCACAAAGCTGACTAATTTAAAGATAAATTAAGAAAATTTAAAGAGATTTAAGCTATGTAGTTCCACAATTAATTACCTTCACAATGTACGTATAAAACTAAGATCCAATCTAGGTTGCAGGAGACCGCATACATCGACCAAAAAGGGTAGAAAAGGAACATCTTCGATCTTCTTTTTCTGGCTTAGAAGGTACAGATGTCTCTGGTAATGGTGGGGAAGGTGAATCAACATCCTTTCTTTCTTGAAATCTTTCGTCGAGATTCGAAGTATGCTCTTGGCTGTCACTTTTGTTAATGGAAATTGTGACCTGCAGAGCGCGCTTCTGTTCGAGTACTTGAACCCTATCCTCCCAAATGAGGCCGGAAGAGCCTTGCCTCCTGAATGAAATCGATGATCTCGGCAATGCATTCATGGATCTCAATACTTTCTGTCTCCGTCTCTTTCTCTTTCTCTGTGTTTGTCTTTGTTTCGTGTCTCGCTCATGAGGATGATATTAAAGGCTTTCCTTTTTAAACTAACAAAACTGTTTTTTGTTTTGAGGTTGTTTTGCTCTCTTTAAGTTTGTGGCCACTGGCCAGTTACTCATAAATAAAGCCACAATTCTATGAATAAGCATAGCAAGTGCAGCAGAGATGGTAGTTTTTGTAGTAGTTAATAATATTCTAGATACAATTACATTGACCCTATCCACATGCCATGGACCCCAGTTCATTTCTGTCTGTCTTTTTCTTTTCTTTTCTTTTCTTTTTATCTGTCTTTGGTTGAGTAACTATGATGTCAAGTGTTAATAAATTACTTTAAATGTATTTATGACTATGAAAAATTAAAGCATCATTATGTAATTAATATAATAATAAAGTGTGACATACAATGCAAGCACTAATTAATAATCGAAAGAAGCATCTAGAAGTTCAGGAAACGCTGCCTGCATCTCACTATCTTGACCCAAGATAGTATCCACAAAAGAAGTCATGGAAGATGAAGAAGCTTGATCATGAGCCAAGTTATTGTTCCTTTGGCCTCCAATATTAATGGCTGATGATCCAAAATCACATGCCTGAGTTGTTGCATTCAAGTTGTGTTCACTTCCACCAGCAAGTGTGGGAATAACTGATGATGATGACATCATTGTTCCATGGAAATCTTGTTCTTGCTTGAGTTTATCAGCTGACGAAAAGGGGTCATGCAGAAGAAATTCACTCCAATTAAAGGAAGAAGATGGTGTAATTTGAGCGTCATGAAGAGATTGCTGGCACAAGTAAGTTGGCTGAGAGCTTAATTGATGATCAGTGGCATGAGGAGAAGATGATGATGAACAGGAGGAAGCTACTTCATTCAAAAAGTGTGGTTGCACTTGCACACTGTCTTGATTGATTTCTTGAAACTGAGCCACAATACCCAATGAAAGAGTGCTAGCAGTGGAATTGTCTGATCCTATAGGGTTCATCATCATATTGGAATATGTGTTGACGCCCAATGGAAGAAGTCCTGTGATGCCTGAAGACGGCTCTGATTTGGGCACGAACGTGTTGTTTGAGTTCTTAAAAAAGAACCCGAATTGATTATCGATGCTTGGGAGGCTGCTGATGTTTCCATAGTCAGAGAGGATCTGAGAAAAGGGTTTATGGGTTACAGGGTCAATTCCCATTTTGGAAAGCTTCTTTTTCAACTTAGTGTTCCAGTAGTTTTTGACATCATTATCTGTTCTTCCGGGTAGTAGCTTTGCAATGAGAGACCACCTGCACTACATAAGCATTGGGGTTAACTTAAGAGCACACTTTAGAGCTTAGAGAGAGAGAGAGAGAGAGAGATTATGCATGCAGTTCTAACAGAATACAGGCTGTTAAAACAGTTGTACATAGATATATATCCAGTTGGCAGTAATTTTTGTTGTGATCTTCTAGAACTTCAGTCACATAAGCTCTTTTCGCATCAACAAATTCGGAAAACTCATTAAAAACAATCAGATTCCTTAAAACAAACCGAATCACCAGGAATTATCTGTCATCTTCTTGCATATATCTGCAGGATATCTTGTGATCTTTAAATTTTATTGATGTTTTGATGTTAATCTTGGTTGATCTCTTGGTCTTTTATCTACTTAAACTAGTTGCTCTGGTTTTAGGTGGATTTGGTTTGTATTATCTTAAAGCCAAGTACTATTGAAAGGAGAAAATAAGTAAAAGAAAACTCCACCTGCTGCCTATAGCTTCATGAAGGTTAATAATATGCTCTTCCTCTTGAGGAGTGAAGCTGTCATGTTTGAGGTCAGGCCTCAGGTAATTAGTCCACCTAAGCCTGCAGCTCTTACCGCATCTATTAAGTCCTGCAAACAGACTCATGCAAATACTTAATTTAGAAACTTGTATGTATGAATATGATGTCAATAATACCTGCATTAAAAAATTAAGCATAAAACTTAAACCTGCTTTCTTTGGAACCAAAGTCCAATTTCCAACTCCGTGTTTCGAAACGTATGCAAGAAGTTTGGCATCCTCTGCTGCAGTCCAGATGCCTCTTTTCACGTTTGATTTATCGCAGCAAGGTGGCCTCCCCATTGAGAGAGAGAGAGAGAGAGAGAGAGAGAGAGAGAGAGAGAGGTGAATTATGTAATGGTGATGCAAGTTCCAAACTTTGCAAGTGCATTTAAAAAGAGGAAAGGAAAGGATTAATTAGCAAAGAGAATAGGCAAGAAATGCATGCCATTCGGCTCTCAATTAACCAGAATTGCATGAACATTTTCATCTCTTAGAAAACGGTTTAACATGACATCACAAAACTATGCATCTCTCTCTCTCTCTCTCATGTGTTGGCTCCTGGTGCACTCTACCCAGGTTCAAATTGGGTGGATTGTTTGGTTAAGGCTCAAGCAGAGTAAAATTAACTGTCCATGTACAATTTAGAAAAGAGAAAAAGGGCTTTTCTCAAGCTTAACAACAATGAAACTATTGTAAACTAGGCCTCCCTTTTGTACAAGGGTTCACGGTCCATGTACAATTTTCATCATCATGCAAGCGAACCTAGTATACAAACATCTTATGATGGCATTTAGCAGGCATCCATTAGAGTCACAAAAATGTACTGCGAATTTAGACACCTGCTACAAGGACCTTATTTTGACCCCTAATTTTTCACATTTCATTTCAAGGTTTTTTTTGGGGGGTGAGGGGGGGCGGCGGGGTGTGGGATCTAATCACAAAGAGAAAAGAAAAAGTTAATGATCGTCACCGTATAGAGAACTGGCTTATGCTTCAACGCTTAACAGGAGGATTGGAAAGAAACCACCTTTTTTTAACCCAAATTTGTTTATAATAATATCATCCTTTATACTACTAAAAATAGTGGAGAAATTAAAGGTTCATCTTTGTGATAGTAAAGTGCTCAAGTACTGAATATACTATAAAACTTTAATCTGGGCGGCAGCTCTAAAATAAATATCTCACTATGGCCGAGCTCGATGTTATATACAACTAAGCATTAACCCCTCTGTATAGACCCAAGAAGCCAAATAACTGCAAATATTGACCTCCCTAGGATGAACACATATTGCAACTCTTCCTACAAAACCCAGGAAGACCCTTCGAACCCACCATATATGTAGGGTTCCTTTCACATTCACCAGCTTTGGCCCATAGGGGGCAGTTGTCATTCCCATCCGCACAGTCCCCGCTAACTGCATGCTTTAGTGACTTTTCGAAGGATCTCACATGAATCCACTTGGTTGCAGACCATTTCTCACCCTCAATGACAGGGCAGCTCCCATGCAAACTGCTTGGATCGGTTGTTGCATCAGGATGAAGACTGAAGAACAGCAAGGCATCACCCTTGTAGGGTTTCACTGTCACGATGCAAAAAATAGAACTTGACAGTCAAACAAAATTATGATAGGAGACACAAACGCAGTAGATAAATGATTGTGACATGAGTAAAATAGCATAACAGCACAATCGATGTTCAAATGAATGAATTTCAATGGCCATGTAGCTTGTTCTCTGACTTAAATTGGGGTTGATATATGAACTACAAATGCAGGAAGAAGAATATTCACAACCCCCTTCCTCCTCTCTCCAACTCAAAGTGAATTAAGATAAAAATGCTGCCTATATGATGTGCAAAGTAGTAAGAAAGAATATTCACAACCCCCCTTCCCGCATTTGCTGTACTGGACATGAATTAGTTAAATAGTGATAAACATTTGTGAATTAGATATAAGAGAACTAAACAAAAAAATTCAAATACATTTAGTTTATGTGACCAGATCATAAAGTGATACCTGAATAGCCTTGTTTAGCACAATCAGACGCGTCCTCATCCTTAGATTGAGACATTTGGGCCTGTTGGCACATGAGAAAGAACAATGAAATTCAAGAGGTAGGGGAGAAAAAAGGACAGGAGAACCCAGTGATGCAAGTAACCATTTACCTCCGTATTGGGAAAGACAGTTTCCCCACCCTTTTCAACATTAGAGAGATACATCAACACAGTGGCAACACGGTGGCCACCCAATTCTTGGTTAGCCTTGTCATGAAAATAATCAAAATGTGGTTCGTACTTTTGGCCATGTTCATAGTGCAGTATCTGAATGGACTCCCCATTCTCTGATTAGAGAATAAAATAGTTCAATGAAGATGAAATAAAACACTTTCTTAAAAGTCCAACAAATCATAAATCAACAGCACGTCGGAAATTTACCAATAGGAAGAAAGGTCCATGCAGCAATCCTGGCCTCAATGTTAGCAACTACTTCATCCTTTAAGGTGAAACAAAGAACACCAAGTCAGCCTTCTGAGTTCAAAAGACAGAAAGAGTAGATAATATAGTAACAGAACATGGATTGCAATTTTTAATACATGCTTAACACATGGCTACCACACAGTGGGATTGGACCTCAGAGCATAGTAAGAAAGATAAACACTTGGCAGCTAAACAGAAGTAGGAACTTCTCTTCTTTCCAACACAAATATAAGAAGGTGTGATCAATAATCCCATTCAGAACTTTTGTACTAAGAAGAACTACAACGTAAGTTGATTTAAATCAGATGCAAGAAGATAACCTATCTTGAATGCACTGAGTTCCATTCCCACCACATAAATATGTTTAACAGAATTGTCTACCAAATATACCCTTATTATCAGACTTTTTACTTATCCATAACTTGGACAACACCAAGGGAAGCTTAACAATTCTGCTGAAATGTAGGTTCAAAACTGCCTAAAAGACTAGCATGAGTTGTTGAAACTACCACGAGCGGGTATAATTCAATGTGCAACATGGTAAGATGCACTAACTTATATAAATCTTCTATTTGTAAGCAATTTACATGAATCTTCAAAAGTATATCGGATCACATAAAGTGAAGAAAAATAAATCATACCACGCTAATTGCATTGATTTAAACAAAACCATTCAATGAAATAAAACCATTAGTTCAAGAAAGCAAAGGAATTAACAAACCTGAGCTTTCTGAAGGAACATTCCGGAGCTCGTCCGGACTTCACTCTCTATACTCTTACCAGACTCATTATCAGCCACCATAGACTTCTCCAGCTTATCCTTTGCCTGCCCCCAAAATTCACACAAACCAAATCATATTTAAAAGTGCATTATTAAACAAAGACTCTAATTACTGTTTTGGACGGACTAAAACAGCAAAATTCAACGAAAATATGGGGGAGAAAAATAATTTACAATCTCGATTAGATGATCACATTCCTCCTCAGAAAGAAAACCCTTATAAAGAAAAGCCCTGCAGATTGTTGATCACACAAAAGATGAAAAAGAAAGAAAAGTTAATGCAAACAATAGAAATAATCAAACAATGATTTATTTATTTTTATTTTTAAAAAAAGAAGAGAAATTCAGCAAAAAGTAATGGAAATGCAATTGAGAAAGAAAACCTGGGATGCCATGAAAGTTGAGTGACCCGAGTTGGATCAAAGGTAGCAGAAGAAGCGCCTCTTCTCAGTCTAAGCACCGATCCCTCCCTGCAATGCAAACAACGTTCAGACAAAATGATTCAATGAAAATACAAACATGTGTATGTAGAGAGAGAGAGATACGTTTTCTTCTCCTCGATCAATAATGGGACGCGACTTCTGGAATAGGAGAGATGAGGGAAAATGCAAAGGAAACAAAGAGAAAGAGTGAGCAAAAATCGAGAATCCATGAAAAAATCTAGGGTTTTGGCAAGGTCTGAAATGTACAGAATTGGAGAGAAGGGAGGGGAGACTGGTTTTATGGTGGAGAAAAATAAGAAAACGGTGGGTGTGTTGTTTTGCAATTAATTCATTGAAATGTCAAATGACTCTGTTTGGTTGGCAAATGGGGAGGTGAGTGCGTGGGGGTTTCGTTTAGAACTTTCTCTTGGTTCAACTCGAGACAAATGAATGGGGGCGCCCACTGAATATCGTCGGTTTTGTTGGTTATTGTATTGTCAGTGGTCGCACTCGCAAGTTCGCAACACCATTGTTATTATTTTCTGGAAGCTTCCTAAGAATTTCAAGAAAGTGGTCGCACTCGCAACACCGTTGTTTTGTATATAATTCTGTGTTTAGCTCTTGTCCAACGAATACTTACCGACAAATATTGGGCTTTGGAATCTTGTGGGTATATTGTGCTCGTTTCAAGCCCACCTATTCGTTGTTGGGCCAGTTAATTTTCATTGTTGAAACTTGACTGCACATTCAGTTTGCCCATGTTTTTACTTTTATGGAAGAAATTTTTATATGTTCCGGGTACACCATGTGGCTGGTGTACCATTCAATAAACATAGGACATGTGAAATTATTGTCTAATTTGCTGCATTTCTTTTTATAACATATGGCAGGCTGCATTGCAAATATTTCATATATCTTCCATTTATTAGATAGTACACTAGTCACGTTGTGTACCCAGAACACCCAAAAATTACTCCTTTTACAAACATTCAGATAAACTAATGCATGTAGCGCAAAATTGTGTTGTTTTCTACAAAATGACGACGACGCAACACCAATCAACACAAAAAGTACAGATCAAACGAGAAAGAAATGGCTATATTAATTAGCATGCATATGTGTCGTTATACAATGCATGTGATTATATGAGATTAAATTCACGAGAAGAATGAAAAGCACACGATTTACGTATCATTTCTAGCTTTAAATCATCAGCAGCCCATGATTTTCTTAGCTGCGGCAGCACGCTTGGGCTTCTCCTCCACAATGCCGTCGTTTCCGGCCAAAGCCCGGTACTTGTCCTTCCGAGTGAACGTCGTGCACTCGTACGACAAGCTCGCGGCAATGTTCCTCTGTATGTAATTCGCCACATCATGGCTCGACTTCCCGGCCCCACACGTCAAGTCGTACGGTAACTTATTCAAGAAGTTCACTTCATAAGCCGGGCTAGGGTTCATGAAGAAGTAAAACGGATCCATCCCTTTCCACCCTCTGGCCGTGGTGCCGTGGAACATGCTCATCCGGTTCGACATCGCCACCGGCACGAGCTCGTCGGTCAGCTCCGCGAACAGCGCCGAAAACCTTAGCAAAAACGGCTCACGACATGTAGTCCCTTCGGGGCATATGACTAAGTCTCCTTGTTCAAGTAGCTTCTTGATCATGTTGGCGTCGGTGACTCGGTCACGGCTGAGCCGGACGGTCTTGATGGGAGAGATTATCTCCGAGAGACGGGACAAAGAGTACGTGACAGCAGGACGGCCTAATGGATAGAAAAATCGGGTTCGGTGTGAGCAAATCCGGTTTGGTCTTAGCGGGAGGAGGTGGGGTGCCTTTGATGTACACCCGTACGCCCAGGGCCCAAAAAGCGTAGTATACGACGGGCATAGGGAGCAGTGCACCTGCTGCGATGCGCAAGCAAGCTAACATGAAGCCGACGGGGATCCAAAGAATTGTGAGCAAAGCCATGAGCGGCGTTGGTTTCTGGACTAGCCGGCCGTCATGGAACACTATCGGCTTCGGCAACTTGTCGTGGCTTACCGGCTCGACTTCCGGCTTAGCTGGAACCACGTAGCTCTCTTTGCAAAGCTTCATGAACGGGAAATCCGTTTTCCGGTCTCCGAGCCCAATATCAGGGGCCGAGGACGGGTCAGTACCGAAGGCTTTGTTGAGCGCGTCGGCTTTGTTTTTTCCGACGGTAATCCCGGGGCTAAGGACCCACCCAGTTGCTCGGCCTCTGTACGTGGAGATCTCTGTCCCGAGCACCATGTCCGCGCCCAAAAACTCCTTCAAAAACGCCTCCACCATGATCCTCGGGTTCGCCGTCAAAACGCAGCGTTTCCCGCAGGAAGAGAAGACTCTCCACGTCTCGGAGTGGAGGTCAGTTGAGTAGAATTTCGGGAGAACCGCACGTGCAACAGATTCGATGTCGGAAACTCTCATGCCTGCGAAAGTTGCGAAAACGAGGACGCGGATGCCGGCGGACTCAGAGACACAGTAGTACAAAAGGCCGGCGAGTGGAGATGCGAGTAGTAGAAAGAGAAGCCTTAATATGCCTCCGACCTCAAAGGCCACGAGGGCGAAGTAAGGGAAGGAGCTGCGGCCTCTGAGCAGAGTGCCGTCCATGTCCGCCACCACTGTGTGCTTTTCGCGACCGATTGACGGACATTGGTGGATTGTTGGGAAGGTAGGAAGAGAGCATTCCTTTGTCGTCGAGGCCATGCTGGGAAGGAAGGAAATTAGCCAATTTGGCCAATGTGGCTATGGAAAACTGGTACTAATAATAATGTTAGTGTCAATTTGTTATTAGCACCTGGCTAATTGGGTTGAGTTGTGGGTATTTATAAAGTTTTGTGATTAAATTTTAGTGAGACAAAATGTTTTGGCTTATGAGATCAATGGCTGTGGCGCCGAGATTTCCGAAACAAAGTGAGGGAAGGCGACAAAATCTTCGGATTCGCCGATGTAGTTAAGCTAATTCATACTTGTGTGTTAGGCTTAATAATGAACGAGAAATAAAGAAAGATGCTGTAAATATTAGGTTATTAGCCATGCATGACGAATATTTGATCTCTATCAAGTTCTTAATGTTTTTAATATGCGTTTTGCTGAAGCACTTAAAAATTAGGGGCAAGCATCTTCGTTTAGCTCGCCGTTGTTTGTCGTGTTGTGCCCTCGTCTTTGTCTGGGGGGATGTTGCTTTCATTTCTTTGTTTTTGATCGGCCCACCGGTGTCCCAATTACCATAATCCCATACAGTATACATGACTGTTCAAACTCGTCATTGATGATGAAGAGGAGGAGGTTGAAAATTACAGGACTTCAAAATTATGAAGGAAAATATCAATATGGTGTTAGTTGGACTAGCTTAGATTTTGACGTGCTCTCAAGTGGTCTTGAGTTCAATTCCTCATGATACTCATGCGTGTGAATTTTTCCGTTATTTCCTAACTTTTGACAAAAAAAATATAAATATGAAGGAAAATTATAATTTTATTATGTTATCAGGGATTTGCAATTGATATATTTTATAAAAATGGAGTGACGTGACATTTTCCGTATGAAATTCAATGAGATTTAAATACTTGTCTTCGTCCTATCAAGATATTGGTGGGAAAAGAAGACCAGCTCTTCATCAATGGACCATAGATGTGATCGCACCAGCCAATGTGGTCTGTTGTTGGTGCGTTTGGTGTGTAAGAGAAGAGACTATATGATAATAAATGTTATTTGGCCTTTAGAGGAGAGGTGATGCATGAGGTTTTAAAAAAACGCGTGTAAAATTACTTTGGTAAAAGTCAACTTTTTGATGTTTGACTGTCAAACCTGTCTTCGATGATAGAGAGGAGGGGGCGAAAACTACTACAACTTTAGAATTTGAGAATTAAATGCTATCAATCTGTGTATAATGCTCGTTCATCCTATCAATATAATATGGTGGTGAAAAAGGCCCTATCATCTTCATTCATTTTAGACGAACAATTAACAAAACGAAATTATATGAAAATAATTTGAAATCTTAAGGGATGTTCGTGTAATCTCTGAAATTGGGACTACATGAACTAAAGGAAAACTGATAAAATTACCGAGACCGAGTGTCATTTGGCCTTTATAGGAGAGGTGAAGTCAGGAACGAGGCTGAATGTGGTTAAAAGAAAGACATGTAACTGGTGAAGCATTGAGCTGAATTTTGATTAGTTTGGCTCAATATTATTGCGTTCAAGTCAACTTTGACAGATGTTAGAAATGTAGGAAGCATGCTGCTAAACAGAACTTGCAGACGAATCGATGCCATTTTTATTCATTTGATATTTTCTCAGAGTCTAGTAATGACCACCAAATGAACTTGAATTGGAGAAGTAGCTAGAAACCAAGAAAAGGACACAGTGATAAAGTATAATCTTTATAGAAAGCCTGGTTGCACATGAAAAAGAAAGTAAAGAACCACATGGAACAATTCAAGAAAAGCAGAATCCCACACGGATAAAGGGGAGATCAATGTGCCAGGGAAGGGAGACAAACAACAGGGTTCGTTCGTATTTTCTGTATTGTCCATGTCAAAATTTTCTTTTTAAAAAGTGCATTTCCAGGTAAAGTTGCAGGCATTTTTCAGGTCATTTCAGACTGCGGCATATAAACAAGAAAAGAGAATCTGGAAAAGCGTTTGAGACCATCCCACCACCACACACCAATAGCCAGAGGGCCACCTTAAGAACCTCCCAGGACAAAGAACAGACGACAGCAAGGGAAGGGTCTATACCCTACAATTCTTTTTCATGGTCGTTTTTAATTGTTCAATTTTATATTAGAAGAGGAAAACATGCTTGTGTAAAAAACATACCATGCAATGGTTTAAATGAAATAATCATGTGAAGAAAAGATTCATTGAGAACATGAGTAAGCGCCAAGAACGGCACAAGACTGATTGCTAGAAATCGTTTCCTTTTCCATCAAAATTCATCAGAAAAATTCAAAATCTAAATATGGACCTGACGACCGGTTTGAGTCAGTAGCTCCCTTGTCATTTTGAGGCACTGCAGACTTGAATGTGTGATTTAGAACAGCAAGATCAAATGGTTTTGGGATCTCTGGAGGGTGCGTGCTGCGTATGAGAGCCCAATTAACATTTGCAAAGAAGGGGTGCTGTTTAATTTCTGTAGCACCTCTTTTAAATCCCAGTCTCTTCTGTGGGTTCTTTACAAGCAGGCCCCTGATCAAATCTTTAGCAGCAAAACTGGCATTAGACCCATCTGGAAACTTGAGAGACTGACCAACCACGTTGAATAGCGTCTCCCGGTTTCCATTGCCTTTGAATGGTGTCCTCCCATGCAGCAGCTCATACAAGAAAATACCAAATGTCCACCAATCAACAGCACTACCATGGCCATCGCCTCTTATTATTTCAGGAGCTAAATATTCATGTGTTCCGACGAATGACATAGAGCGGGCATTAGTTGGCTCAGCAATAAGTACAGGCAATGAATCTGAATTTCCCGAAGTTGATCTTTCACTTTTCTCCTTGGTTGATTTGGATCTTAGAAAGCGAGGCTTAAAGCAAGATGGTTGCAAGCAAGAAGGCTGAACACAAACTGGTAATTTGCAGGCTGGATCCAAAATACATGATGGCTGAATACAGTATGAAGAGATTCTACAAGACGGCTCATCACTAGACTGAACAAGAGTAGGATTCACATAACATCTTAATGATAAATCAAAATCAGAGAGCATGATATGGCCATCCTGCCTCACCAGCACATTTTCGGGTTTTAGGTCCCGGTACACCACTCCCATCATGTGAAGATACTCAAGTGCAAGAAGCACTTCTGAAGCATAAAACCTGCAAAAGATAATGAAACTATCAAAAACCTAATTTACTTTTCAACATAATAATACGGTGACAGTCCACAGTGATGATGGTGTATAAGAATATAAGTCCCACGTTGGAAACTTGACTAAATAAAATGCTACCCATCAAAGTCTCAATCAAAAAGAGTAGATGAAAGTCCTAAACTTCGAATGCAAAATTAGAATACAGGTTGGAAGGAGATAGCTTTTCCCCTGTGCCAACGAAACAGAGCCCATCTCCATCACAAAGTAGAACAAAAATAGAGCGCATCTTTATCATAAAGTAGAACAAAAAAACAAAATAAAATCATATATAATCTGCTAAGCTGCAATAGCTGAGCAAAAAGAGTTCACTTTTACTATATAACATTCGGCTAAGACTTAGGTTACAACGTAATGGGTAAATATGAACAATTAGCACTAACCTCGCAGCTTGTTCAGTAAAATGCTTCCCCGGCTGGCGCTGCCGAAGCGTGTGAAGATCCCCACCACAGCAAAACTCCATTAACAAGCAAGAAAACTTCTCCGTCTCAAAATTCGAATAGAGGGTTGGAAGAAATGGATGGTCCAACAAACCCAATATGTCTCTCTCAGTCTGAGCTCTTATCAGCTTCTTCCTCCCAGCCAACATGCCTCTGTCCATTACCTTCATGGCGAAAAGGCAACCAAGCCCTCTCAACTCAGCCAAGTACACGCTTCCTATATCCCCACAGCCGAGCTTTTTCAGAAGCCTGAAATGGCCCAGACCCAAGTCCCCATCTTTGGCTTTCACGCATTGTATCGCATCCCATCGCATGTCGTTGCCTTTGTGCGGCTTCGATGGGCAAAAGCTCCGAAAACTGCCATCATTCGGATCGAACCTGCTAGAATTACCGGCTTGGCATAGAGTGCTTTTGTCACTATCGTCTTCGCAATCTACGATGGAGGACTCGGCATTTTCAGAGTTCTTGTTAGCTTCCTGAGTCCCATTGCTGACCTTGGTGCTGTTACTCACGCTGTTATCAGACACAGAAACGGTGCTGCTACACATGCTGATACTGAAACTGTTTTTGAAGCTAAGATCTTGGAGGCTGCTGATGACAGATTCACTGTCATGGGTTTCGACGGTATTGGCTGGTTTGTCCATGGTTGAAAAATTGCAGATGAAGTGTTTGGTAAAAGTTCAAAGAGAAAAAGGATGTGGTTAAAAATGGGGGTTGGTGGTCAAGGTGGGAGATGGGGTGTGACCGAGGTGGTCAAAGAGAGGGCGAGAGAGACGCGGGCGCGAAGAGAGCTGAGCATAGGGACCCAAAAGAGGCTGAATAATAAAAACAGTATTCAAATTTGAAATGAGAGTGTGAGTGTGGGAGGAACGGGGTGGTGAGAGACCCAATGACTGGGTTGGGGTCTGATTCCATTTCTTACTCTCTGTCCCAGAAAATGTTACAGCTTGGAGACAAAAACAAACACAGAGGAGATGAGAGAGAGAGAGAGAGAGAGAGGAGAGAATCCCTGTTTACGAGGACGACAAAAGCCTTTCAGATTTTTCTAATGAGCAAAAGTGCAAAGCCAACATAGTTTAAAGTACAAAACCCCCTCAGCCAATACCGTTATGGCGTTGCTCTGGTTTGAGTTTTTGGTGTAATCTGATAAAAACACCAAAAGATCAAGTTTTGGGTTGGTGGGGGGGGACATCAACTGGGAAACTTGTCCTCTCATTAGTACATTGTATTTGCTGAAACGGTGGACAGCAAATTTGCTTATTGTAATTGATGCAGTGTTGATTCCATTGGATATTTCCATCATCTAAATTTGGCAGGAGAAAGGGAAGGTATGGCAATCCGCCCTCTGGACTATAATGGCTTTTTTTTCCATGTATATGAGAGTAGATTTACTAAAAAGAACTAATTTGGATTTTTGGATATCTGAAAATCATTGCAGAGACCACAATAAGCAACTCATTTATTATTTTTGTTATAAAAAGAGGAAGAAATATCACCATTGTTGTCGTAACCATAACCATTATCTGGAAAGAATAAACAATGCACGAAAAATGATACATTAATTGCCCTGATGATTATCTGAAAGTTTATATTACACAAGCCTTTCATCATAATTGACTCATTGTCCAATTGTTGTGAAGCTTTACCTTTCTGATTTCTCTTCTAGGAAAGGGTGGCCTTAAAGTCGGGAGTTTAGTGTTACAGACGTTTTATTTTCTGCTTAATTGGCCTGCTGATAATTACTTACCATCTGATGTTTTACATGTGGCCTACTATTGGTGATTTTCCTCCTCTAAAGCCATCGGACATTGTATTCATTTTCATGATTGTCAACAGAAGTGGTCAATTCCCAAATGGCATTTCAAGGTTGTTGCTTAAAGGCCAACGTAACCAAGATCCTCTATTAATTGTCTCCAAAGATTGTCCACATCAAAACTTGAAGTACAATCTAAGAAGAAACACAGTTTAGCCTTCACCTATAAATGTAGCATCTAAACATTGCGTTTCACCCGAATGCATCTGAACCATGAATCTCCCAGATTTTGTTGCTGTTTTCTTTCTGTTCCTAATGTGGAATTTTCTGTTATTTGGTAATTTCATAGAAATACTATGTTTTGTTTCCATAGTTCTTCTGTTAGTTAAAGTAGATTCATATTTTTCAATGTCAACATTGCCCCTGAACTTTATTGTACACTGGCACTAAATCATAAATCATATTGCAGGACATGGAATGGCACATACAGTAACATTTGACATACGCAATAAGTGCCCCTTCCCCATATGGCCAGCAACTGCTCCCAACAATGGACAGCCAGTGATAGCTGATGGCGGCTTCTATCTCCCAGCCGGTCAGAGTCGGCGCATTTCTGCCCCTTGGTCATGGAACGGTCGGATTTGGGCCCGAACTGGATGCAACTTTGCCTCAAACTGGAATCCTGCATGTGAAACAGGAGACTGTGGTGGTCGCTTAGCATGCAATGGACTAATAGGCACTCCACCAGTGACATTAGTGCAAGTTTCACTTCAAGGTGACAAAGACAGGCCAAATTTCTATGATGTGAGCTTGGTTGATGGATACAATCTTCCTGTTGCAGTCTTGTCAAAGCCAGTAGCATCTAATTGTGGCATTGGAGGGTGTTTGAAGAATTTGAAAAGTTGGTGCCCAGAAGAACTGAAGGTCTTAAACTCCAAGGGGGAAGTGGTGGCTTGCAAAAGTGCTTGCTTGGCTTTCAACACTGACCCGTTTTGTTGTAGGAATGAGTATGGAACCCCAGCAAAATGCAAGCCAAGTGTGTACTCAAAGATATTCAAAGATGCTTGCCCTTCTTATTATAGCTATGCTTATGATTCACCCCCTCCATTGGTGACTTGCAAGTCAAGTGAGTATGTGATCACCTTTTGTCCTTCAGGCTGGGGCACTGATGCCTATACCTCCATATAGACTAGTTTGCTTCATTTGTGGTAATCTAGCTAGTTTCGCATTTGAATAAAATGTAATTTTCATTGTATCAGTATAGTTTTTCTTTTGGGTGGAGTATAATTATTGCTTTTAATTGCAATGGTTATGCTAAATTTGGACTTTGAAATTGGATTTGTATACAATATAATAATGTTCTTCATGTAACTATTGAACAAGTTGGAATCCTCGGTTTAATTGTTATGTTTATCTTCACTTAATTCTCAATTTTTTCATATTTACAAGCTAACTATTGCGGGAGATGCTACAATGAGAGGGATTTTGAAGAGGGGGTTCAATCCAATCATTTAAAAAGTTTAAGTCCAATATTTTCTCTCTCTTATTGGATAGTGGGATTGAACCCCTCCCTCAACCCTCTCATTATGACATTTCCAAACAATTAACTTAGAGGTACTTATCTTCCCAATATTAAAGATGTCCCAAATTCGAAATCCACCTTCCTTGATTTAATAAAAACCTCTCTGAATTTTTTAGGGAGAAGAGCTAAGGTCCAAACCAACTATGTCCATAGTCTAGTGATATTTCTTTTCAAATATTAAAAGAGGTTTCAAGTTAATTCTCTGTCCCATTCGATAAATAAATATAAGAAGTAAAAGAAGAGCCAAGGCTCAAATAATGTTGTTATTGTTTGGGTTCACTTGTGGACCTTACACGTATAGATACGGGCTTTGACAGTGCGAATATGTTTGAAGTGCGCGAGGCCCATTTATGCCCCACAGCCCATATCAACATCGAGAACCTTCGCTTCGCATTAGGGTTTCGAAACCTCAGCCAATAGACCTATATAAATACGCGCTTGTAGAGTTCAGAAACATTGTCTTCTTCTTTTCGACTTAGGGTTTGGTTTCAACATCCCCGCACAAGCACACACACAAAATCTCTTTTCTCCTCTGTCCTCCGGTTTTCCTTTTCTGAGAATCGAATTTCAAATCAGCTGATGAGAAAAAAACTGCAACAATATGATGGATACGCTCCAATTTCCATGATTCTTTGTATTTAAGTCTCTGATGATTTGTTTCGTTCCTTCATCTTCACCAATTTTTATTTATTTATATTCATGAATTTTTTAAAAAAAAATTTCCAAGTGATATGATGAGGAACTTATTGGTCCGTGTTTCTGATTTAACCGTGACCGACAAACCTTAACCAACTCTGATCGCTCTTTTATACATACGCTCAATTTAATTTGAAGTTTTTGAAAATTTTCCTGCTTTTTAGTGGTTGCTCTGTGATTACCTGCCTGAAATGGGCAATATACGCTATTCCGATTATTACATGACCGGAGAAACTTCTAGAGAATGTATGAGAGTTAGCTGCTAAATTTTGTGTTTTTTTTTCTTGCTTTTTCTTTATGCCTGTCTTATTCTGCGGTGATGAATTCTGGATAAATTTCACATGTCAGACTTCAGAGATTTCACAATCAATGAGAATTAAAATTCTAGTTTTCTGAGCAGAATTTGTTGATTTCATGAAACTGTTTTCAATTTTGTTGAAAAAAGGTTTAAGGATTTTGATTTGTATGTAATGTGACGTGAGATTTCTGTCTCGAATTCTCATGCTTTTGAATGGGAGCAAGATGTAATTATGATTGTAGATTCCCAAGTAAGCGTCACAAAGCAAGCCATGTAACGTCGACCGGTCCTCCGTCCCATTCGTGGGAGGGAGCTCCTCCGTTACGGGGCGGTCTCATATTCCATCGCCTTGTGGAGCAGCGTTGCTGCCTTTACCATTTGGGACATGCCATGAGACGTACATTCTGTTTTCACACAAGAACAGACGGTATCAGGACTTGGAACATTTCACAAGTAACTTCTTGGGCCTTACTATATTTGGCCACAGGTTTAGGCTTTTACCCTTGCCAATTGGCTAAATCCGGATGAGTAAGATCTCTTAAAGATTGCACGTTACGAAGTAAATGAAGTTGAATTAACTGGCAGATTTCGAACTGATTGTACCTCAGAAATTTCACCAGAACTAGGACCAATACTCTTGAAATAATGTGGTTGGATATTGCTATTTTGCTACACCGACAGTAGTTTTATGACGCGAGTGCTAATACTTTCATATGACATTGCATCACACTTTCATATGACATTGCATTATTGATCGAGAAGTTTTTCTCCGAGCGAGGTGATATTTTAACCGTACAAACATCCTCTCCTCGTATATGCATATTTGGTGTGATTGTCCAAACTTACTAGTTCCAAATGTACCGACTAGACGTGAGGGGTGAAATGGTAAAAGACATTGTTTTCAATAGATTATAGCTAATTGGAGTAAGTAACCTTTAGAATGGTCAAACACGGTTGGCTGGGAAAGGTTCTTTCTAATTGCCAAAATCAAAATTTAGTCGTGGAAGGTTCAAGGAAACTGCTTCCATCTCAGATGGAGTGAGCCGTATTTTGTTTGCACGCGAGTCATCTTTCTTGATCACCAAGACATACCTTCTCTTCTTCCTTACATAAATACAAACTCGTCTGTGTAATAGCAAAAAGAAATCCAGTCCATACTTGTTTCCTTCATCAATTTCAACAAACAGTGCAGTGGAGGAAGATGATGAAGATGGGGGAACTGTGGACACAGCTGGGCTCAGTGACGGCCAGCATGATGTTTGCTTATGCCATGTTCAAACAATTCTTCCCAGACGATCTTGGCAACATCCTTGAAAAATATACCCAAAAATTGGTGGGTTATGTCTACCCTTACATCCAAATCTCCTTTGATGAATACACAGTTGAGTTTTTAAGACGCAGCGAAGTTTATTCTTCCATCCAAAGCTACCTCAGCACCAAGTCCTCCACCAGAGCAAAACGCCTCAAGGCTCACGATGTTAAGGGCAGCAAGGCCCTTGTTCTCGGCATGGACGACAATGAAGAGGTCACCGATGAGTTTCAGGGCATCAAGCTCTGGTGGGTTTCAATGAAAAGTGCGTCTAAGAAGTCATCTTTTTCTTTCTATCCTGAGTATGAAGATAGGAAGCAGTACAAGTTGACCTTCCACAGACGCCACAGGGATATTGTGATGGGGTCTTATCTGGACCATGTGAGGCAGGAAGGGAAGGCAATTGCAGTGAGCAATAGGCAGCGCAAGCTTTACATCAACAATACAGGGAAGGGTGCCAAGTGGAGCCACGTAGTGTTTGAGCACCCTGCAACATTTGAGACCTTGGCAATGGACCCGAAAGAGAAGCAATCGATCATCGATGATCTCATGAAGTTCAGCAAGGGGAAAGACTACTACAAGAAAATTGGCAAGGCTTGGAAGCGTGGATATCTTCTCTACGGGCCACCGGGCACGGGCAAGTCTACCATGATCTCTGCCATGTCTAATCTCATGAACTATGATGTCTATGATCTAGAGTTAACGGCTGTCAAGGACAACACCGAGCTGAGGAAGCTATTGATTGACATAACTGCTAAGGCGATTATCGTGATCGAGGACATTGATTGCTCTCTTGATCTGACCGGACAGCGAAAGAAGAAGAAGCAAGAGGAGGAAAAAGATGGGGATGAAAAGGACCCAATTCCTAAAAGGCCTGAAGAAGAAGAAACCACAACAAGCAAGGTCACTCTGTCTGGGCTGCTCAACTTTATTGATGGGATTTGGTCAGCTTGTGGAGGGGAGAGACTGATTGTGTTTACCACAAACCATGTGGACAAACTTGATCCTGCTCTCATTAGAAGAGGAAGAATGGACAAGCATATTCAGCTGTCCTACTGTTGCTTTGGAGCATTCAAAGTGCTTGCAAGGAATTATTTGGATGTAGAATCACACGAGTTGTTTGGAACCATCGAGCGTTTGTTGGGGGAAACCGATATGACTCCGGCTGATGTTGCTGAGAATTTGATGCTCAAATCTGATACAGAGGATGCAGACTCTTGTTTGAAGAGCTTGATTGAAGCACTCGAGGCTGCTAAGGTGGAGGCAAGAGTGAAGGCAGAGGAAGAAGCAAGAAAGAAAGCAGAGGAAGAAGCAAGAGTGAAGGCAGAGAAGGAAGAGAAAGAGAAGGCAAAATCTGGTAATTCTAAAGATGAAGTGAAATGTAATGGAACAAAAGATGAAGTGAAATGTAATGGAACAAAAGATGAATTGAAAGGAACATCGGTTGCAGAAGTAAAAGAAAATGGTGTGACCCCGTGAAGAAGTCATTATGCCCATTGAACAAGGCATCAGGCCGCCGTCACCTCTTGAAGATGTGACTTGTAGTCTTTATTTGTCATATGAAAGATGTCAACTATATATATATTTGTTCTGCGAGACAATAGGGGATATTCATTAATGAACATGGCAATTACAGAAAATTGGTGATGAACATCACCCGAGGGATCCAACCAAACTAATAGTGCACTTATCAATCACTAGACCAGAACAACCCCAATTCAAGAGAAGCCAACACAAAGATAAAACAGAGCATATAAAGCAAGTAATGTCAGTGCAAACAGACCGAGCATAGCACACAAATTGCCACAGCTTAGAGAAGGAGAAAGCGCCCCAAGAGGATCATATCCACTCAAATTCCTCCCACATTGCTCCGCCAGTCCATTATTCCTTTGAGCATAGATACGACTTCTTGATTGTCACTTGCAAGTGCAACCACAAAACGAGTGAAACCTTTGTAGCCCATCATTAGTAGACCTCCAGAATTTCCTAAGTTTGCAGAACCGAACGGCATGACAAGCATCCTCATAATATTTTCCACGCCTTGAACAGACGTGAGACGAAATCACCCTCCGCTTGAACAAATTGACAGCGGTTGGCAATATTTCGGAGCTTGCCCGCCATATCAGCATTTTAATCTTATTTGAGACACGCCCATTAATCTAGTGGCTTCTTGTTCCACAGAGACTGGCTTCTTGTTCCACAGAGACTTGAAATTTCCTCCTTGAGATCTGGCAGTTTTGGTATGCTTTCCATTGAAAGCCATCCCTTGCTGAATCAAGTACAACTTGTGCCTCAAAAGTGCTATTTGATCTCCCACAATCTCTATAGGAAAAAAAAAGTCAACCAAATTATCAGTAATTGTTTGTTAGTCTCGTATTATAACTAGAATTTGTGAATTTGGGGGGGATTTAAGATCCAAAATAAGATTTATTTACACTAACACCCCTTAAGGTTTTTTTGTTTTCACAAAACCTCCTCAGGTCTCAAAAATTACATGAACACTTCATGAGGTTTAAGTTTGTTTTCACAAAACCCTTTTTCGTTGATTGTTTGTCCAAAAATTAATGATTTCATTGAAAAAAAAACTTATGCAAATGACAAAATTAACCTCAATGAACGTATATGAAATCTAATTTCAAAGACCAACTTTGTCATTTGGAGAATTTTTTTTGTATAAAATCATCAATCTTTAGACGAAAAATCAATGAAAAGGTGTTAGTGTAAATAACTCGCAAAAAAATGTTCCTCTTGATTCAACCGTTAACGACTCTACAGGGTTCAAGGTTAAACTCTATACTTCTCTAGATTCAGTCACTAAAGGCTCTACACGTGTCATGCACGTGAGCCACTTAAAGGAAGTTAATGGAATGTCTATAAATTGTAAACTTTGGGTAATATGGTGACTAATTTGAAATTTCGTGTAAAACTTAATGACAAAAAAGATATTTAACCCAACAAAATATAACAATTCTCATATTCTTATGAGAAATTGAGATTATTATTATTTTGTTGTTGTTGAGAAATTGAGATTTATTTATTTGTTGAGAAATTGAGATTTATGTGGCTTTCCGAAAAGGTTGCGCACCTTTCTTTAAAGTAAGTCTACGCATTTGGTCGCATCTCCATGTCTTTGGATATAAGCTTCTTGATGATGCAAACTCGTGGTCCAACCAACATTTTCTTCAAGTCCCCACAACCAACATTACACAATTTTACACATCATAATCCATAACAACAACTCACTCATAAATTTCTCAATTCCAATTCCAATTCCAAGATGTAATTTGCTCATACTGAAAACGACCAATTTAGAAACATAATAAAGTTATAAAATTGATAATGAAAATTACCAAACGAAGACCGAGCACTAATATTGATTTCATGGTTCGACCCCAACTCTAATTGACTCTAATTGTCGAAGGGGCGTTCGAACCAAGAAACCCAACATGAAGAAAAGAGAGCAAGCGCAGGTGGAACAGAGAGAGTGGGAGCAGCAGTGGAAGGTGTTTCACGTTCCGGTTATTTTTTTCGTTTTTCTTTTCATTAAAAATTCTACACAAGCTATAAGCAAGCAATTATTTTCACAATACAGCAATACTAAACTGGATCAATGGGGTGGATTAGCTCACATCCACCAACCAGTCATTCAAAGGTCCATATTGTTTTTTTTGGGGTCAAAAAGGTTGATATTGTTTGGTGCATGGTAGAATTTTCGTTTGGAAGATATGCAACTGAATTGAATGGACCGCAGACAAATCATCAAAATAAGTACTGAGACTTTACAATTGATGTCTGCGGAGAATCTACCATGGATGGATGCATTTATCATTGCACGTGGACCGTGGTGGTGTAATTTCCACAGCTACCACTGTACCACAGCTTAATGTTCTGAGGGTGATATTTGCGATAACTTTTGCAACGGTCAAACATGGTAGGCTGCCGCTGAGATGAGAAGGAAACGGAAGCTTGAACGAAATTGAGTTTTGATGAGACACGAGGGGCTGCTCTCTCTCTTGATCACCAAACTTTCTCTTCCTCATATAAATACAATTTCGTCGGTGTCATAGCAAAAAGGAAACCACTACTTTTTTATTTATTTATCAATTTCTACAATTTGTCGGTGTCAGTGCAGAGGAGAAAGATGATGAAGATGGGGGAAATGTGGGCTCAGCTGGGCTCAGTGATGGCCAGCATGATGTTTGCCTATGCCATGTTCAAACAATTCTTCCCAGATGATCTTGGCAACATCCTTGACAAATACACCAAAAAACTGGTGGGCTATGTGTACCCTTACATCCAAATCTCCTTTGATGAATACACCAATGAGTTTCACAAACGCAGCGAAGTCTATGCCTCCATCCAAAGCTACCTCAGCACCAAGTCCTCCACACGAGCAAAACGGCTCAAGGCTCATGATGTCAAGGGCAGCACGGCCCTTGTTCTCGGCATGGATGACAACGAAGAGGTCACCGATGAGTTTCAGGGCATCAAGCTCTGGTGGGCTTCAATGAAAAGTGCGTCTAAAAAGACATCTTTCTCTTTCTATCCTGAGTATGACGAGAGGAAGCACTACAAGCTGACATTCCACAGACGCCACAGGGATTTGGTCATGGGGTCTTATCTTGACCATGTGAGGCAAGAAGGGAAGGCAATTGCAGTGAGCAATAGGCAGCGCAAGCTTTACATCAACAATACTGAGAAGGGGGCTAAGTGGAGCCATGTAGTGTTTGAGCACCCTGCAACATTTGAGACCTTGGCAATGGAGCCAAAAGAGAAGCAGTCAATTATCAATGATCTCCTTAAGTTCAGCAAGGGGAAAGACTACTACAAGAAGATTGGTAAGGCTTGGAAGCGTGGATATCTCCTATACGGGCCACCGGGCACCGGTAAGTCTACCATGATCTCTGCCATGTCTAACCTCATGAACTATGATGTCTATGATCTTGAGTTAACTTCTGTCAAGGACAACACCGAGCTGAGGAAGCTGTTGATTGACATAACTGGTAAGGCGATTATCGTGATCGAGGACATTGATTGCTCTCTTGATCTGACCGGACAGCGAAAGAAGAAGAAGGAAGAGAAGGAGAAGAAAGATGGGGATGAAAAGGACCCAATTCCTAAAAGGCCTGAAGAAGAAGATGCCACAACGAGCAAGGTCACTCTGTCTGGACTGTTGAACTTTATTGATGGGATTTGGTCAGCTTGTGGAGGGGAGAGACTGATTGTGTTCACCACAAACTATGTGGACAAACTTGATCCTGCTCTCATTAGAAGGGGAAGGATGGACAAGCATATTCAGCTGTCCTACTGTTGCTTTGAAGCATTCAAAGTGCTTGCAAGGAATTATTTGGATGTAGAATCACACGAGTTGTTTGGAACCATCGAGCGTTTGTTGGGGGAAACCGATATGACCCCGGCTGATGTTGCTGAGAATTTGATGCCTAAATCTGATACAGAGGATGCAGACTCTTGTTTGAAGAGCTTGATTGAAGCTCTTGAGGTTGCTAAGGTGGAGGCAAGAGTGAAGGCAGAGGAAGAAGCGAGCAAGAAAGCAGAGGAAGAAGCAAAATTGAAGGCAGAGAAAGAGAAGGAAAAATCTGCTAATGGGAAAGATGGAGTGACATGTAACGGAACAAAAGATGAACTGAAAGGAACATCAGTTGCAGAAGTCAAAGAAAATGGTGTGACCCCGTGAAGAAGTTATGTCCCTTGAACAAGGCATTAGGCCATTACCTCTTGAAGATATGTGACGTCTAGTCTTTATGTCATATGGAAGATGTCAATTACATGTTCGTTACTTTTGTATGTGCTTTACCAATTATCATCCTTATTTATTGAAGTTTTTTCGGAGTTTAGTAGCATGCCTAACATTTTTAATTTTATTTTTTATCATCAGAGAGGGAGATTCAAACTTGTGCGCTCTTTGCACACCTAACATTTTAATTTTATTTTTTATCGTCAGAGAGGAAGATTCAAACTTGTGCACTCTTTGCACAAGTGGTTGATAACATTTTTTAAAATAACTCACCTTTTTCAATTGTTTTTTTTGTTTTAATTTATAGTACAATGGCCAGCCCATCTGTATGTCATTTTATTTGGCATCACCTAATCGCCTCTCTTTGGGATTGGGAGCACCCTGGACCAGCTAGTCAACAGAGTCAAACAGGAAAGAAACCATGCAACGAATCTGCATCTTTCAATGTAAGGTTGGCCTTCCATGATTTCAGCTGGTATTACAATCCAATCAGAAGTGTCCTATACATTAGTCTTAGACATGCGATGCGAGATTCTTTTTCCTTTGTCTATATATGGCGTAATTGCTATGCATATTCACCAGTTTTTTTTTCTGCATATTAACCAGCAAAGGGGGAAGGAAGGGCTATGCTTTTGCATCAGTAGTTCGTCATGACAGTGACTTGTGGAAATAGTTGTTTTTTGGTCGTCAAATTTGGTAGGCTTCCTACGATCAATCAAGCATGCTTCCTCTTGGTTTCTTTTAATCAATAAAATATAGTAAAGAAAAGACTTGGAAGCTTGTAGGTCTTAGTAACTTAATTTCCAAGAAACTAGACTCTTGTAACTATCCCCTGTTGTGGCTGTATATAAGCCAAACCTTGTGTTTCAATGTAGCAAGAACAAACCTGACCTTCAAGGGTTTATTTCCAAAAGAAAAAATGATGATGAGGATGGGAGAAATGGGGCCTCAACTGGGCTCAGTGATTGCCAGTGTGATGTTTGTGTGCGCTATTTTTCGACAATACCTTCCCCCTCAACTTCGCTACTATGTTGATAAATATAGCCACAAATTAGTGAAACTTTTCTACCCTTACATCCAAATCACCTTTGATGAGTACACCAACGAGTTTCGCAAACGCAGCGAAGTCTATTCTGCCATCCAAAGCTACCTCAGCACCAAGTCTTCGACAATAGTGAGACGCCTAAAAGCTCATGATGTCAAAGACAGCAAGTCTCTGGTCCTTGCCATGGACGACAATGAAGAAGTGGCTGATGAATTTCAAGGCATTAAAGTCTGGTGGGTGTTGGTGAAAAGAGAGCTTCGACAGACTTCATTTTCTGTCTACCCTCAGTCTGACGAGAAGAAGCATTATAAGCTCACCTTCCACAGACGCCATCGAGATGTCGTCACAGGGGCTTATCTTGCTCACGTGATCAAAGAGGGGAAGGCAATAACAGTGGGAAATAGGCAACGGAAGCTTTATGTCAACAATCCTTCCCGGAATTGGTATACATACAGAGGGTCAACATGGAGCCATGTAGTCTTTGAGCACCCGGCAACATTTGAGACCTTGGCCTTGCACCCCAAAATGAAGGAAGAGATTGTCAATGACCTCATCAAGTTCAGAAAGGGGAAAGAGTACTATGCGAAAATTGGCAAGGCTTGGAAGCGCGGCTATCTCCTTTATGGGCCACCAGGCACTGGAAAGTCTACCATGATTGCAGCCATGTCGAACCTCATGGACTACGACGTCTATGATCTCGAATTAACGACGGTGAAGGATAACACTGAGCTGAGGAAGCTACTGATTGACACGCCTAGTAAGTCTATTATCGTGATCGAGGACATTGATTGCTCACTTGATCTTACCGGTCAGCGGAAGAAGAAAAAGGAGAAGGATGAGGAGGATAATGAAGAAAAGGATCCAGTTAAGAAAACGATGGAAAAAGAAGAGAGCCAACCAAGCAAGGTTACTCTTTCTGGGCTGTTGAACTTTATTGATGGGATTTGGTCAGCTTGTGGTGGGGAAAGACTGATTGTGTTTACCACTAATTATGTGGACAAACTTGATCCCGCTCTCATAAGAAGAGGAAGGATGGACATGCACATAGAGTTGTCCTACTGCTGCTATGAGGCATTCAAAGTGCTTGCCAAGAACTATTTGGATTTAGAGTCTCATGAATTGTTCGAAACCATTGAGCGTTTGTTGGGGGAAACCAATATGATTCCTGCTGATGTTGCAGAGAATTTGATGCCCAACTCTGTTACAGAGGATGCAGACTCTTGCTTGAAGAAATTTATTGAAGCTCTTGAGAGTGCAAAGGAGGAGGCAAGAAAGAAGGCTGAGGAAGAAGAAGCAAGTAAGAAGGCAGAGGAAGAAGCAAAACTGAAGGCAGAGAAAGAAGAGAGGGAGAAACAGGAGCCTGCTAAAGATGAAGTGAAATGTAACGGAACATCAGCTAAAGAGGAAGATGCAAAATGAATGGAACATCAGATGAAACCAGTGAAAGTATGTATATAATTTCAACCTTTCTATACATATTGTAATAAGAATGTATATAATTTCAACCTTTCTGTACATATTGTAATAAGAAAACAATCTGCCCTGATCAATCTGTGTTTTTCTTTATGTGTAAAAAGAATCGTTCAATGGAGTTGTAAAATATTCTGTCTATATTAAGCTTAAGTTGCCACAACTGTTTTTTTACTTCTTTTTACTGTGTCTACTTATTGATATTTCCTTCTTACTTGCCAAACATTTTGGTTCATGATTTACTTCGGGATCAAACGAATTATTCTCCAATAAGTATTTACGTTAAGGATTGGTAACATGTTTCTATGCAACATACCTTCAATCCAACGGTCGATATTAGAAATATGTAAGCAATCATTAACATAAAATACTTATTGGAGAATCTCCTGAGACCAAAGAGGCATTTCCTTTTCCAAATTTCCGTTGACTATAATTCAAACTGAAAGGAAACTGCTTAGACAGAATGTGTATGATGCTGAGCTAAAGGATTGTGAGATCATTATGTTAATTAATGATGTCACGGAATAAATAATTTCCATTTCGCTTACTTAACCCATCGAGCAAGAAAACGAGTCCACGTCTCCACACAGCCTTTGCCGACTTCTGGCATTGAGACAAAATCTACCAGTCAATTTTGGACCAGAAATGTTTGATGGTATTCACACAGAATAATCAATACCGACTCACACCAAGGCCTTTTCCAATAAAATATACTAAAATAATCTTCACCCCCATGTATACAAATGGTAACATACATGGATACATACATCTGCTCAGAAAAACAAGAAGATATAGAGGCCAAGAAAGAACAGGCAAAGTTGCAAACATGGTTCCAGCAGACAAGTTTGCTCATCTTGGATCCACGATTGGAGGCTAAGTGGAGCCATATGGTGTTTGAGCACCCTGCAACATGTGAGACATTGGCAATGGACCCAAAAGAGAAGCAAGCGATCATCAATGATCTCCTTAAGTTCAGCAAAGGAAAAGACTACTACAAGAAAATTGGCAAGGCTTGAAAGCGTGGATATCTCCTTTACGAGCCACCGGGCACCGGCAAGTCTACCATGATCTCTGCCATGTCTAACCTCATGAATTATGTGTTAAAATTTCAGAGGGACAAACCCTTGACCCAACAACATCGATATTGTCCACAACTTAACCACTTGTTTAGCAGGTGTGAGGTTTTATACACAAGGCCTCGATATTATTAGGAGTGGAGCCATTCATTATATGAGACTTTCTATTTTGTTAAGTTTCCGATGTGGGATTATGTATTCTTCAACACTATGATGTCTATGATCTCAAATTAACTGCTGTCAAGGACAACACTGAGCTGAGGAAGATGTTGATCGACATAACTGGCAAGGCGATATCGTGATCAAGGACATTGATTGCTTGCTTGATCTTACCGGACATTGAAAGAACAAGAAGGAAGAGAAGGAGAAGAAAGATGGGGATGAAAAGGACCCAATTCCTAAAAGGCCTGAAGAAGAAGAAGCCACAACGAGCAAGGTCAGTTTGTCTGGGCTGTTGATCAACTTTACTCATGGGATTTGGTCAGCTCGTGGAGGGGAGAGACTGATTGTGTTCACCACTAACTATGTGGACAAACTTGATCCTGCTCTCATTATAGGGGGAAGAATGGACAAGCATATTCAGTTGTCCTATTTTTGCTATGAAGCCAAGGGCGGAATCATGAATTTTTCAACGGGTGGGCTAGCTAAACTTATTGGCTTAAAATCTAATGAATTTTTTTATTATAGTGTTTCTAGAAATAAAAGTTTACATTAAATTATATCAACCATGCTAGTTAATTGTAAAGGGTGATATGATGACTGTTAACATGAATATTGACGAAGGAAACAATGGGAGAAAATAGTAAAAGGTAGAAAGTTATGAGTGTTTATTAAGAGATTATGTTTCTTAAATAAGCAAACAATTTAAATATAAGATGACTATAGACGTACAAAGTTGAATGGATAATGGTGGGTTATTAGGCATTTGGGTGGACTACTAAAATCATATTAAAATACATATAGTATATTTTAAATGTTTTTTAAAGACTACCTGGGCTTAGGGATAGACCCAAGATTTCAAAATGTCACATGCTAAATTTACCTTAAGTACAAACCTATATAAAACTCGACAGTACGAGTGCATTTCATTGATAACAAAGAAAATACACGGGGGGACATAATGAGCCTTACTCCTCAAAATGCATAATACATGTAGATAGAAACTAGTAAAATATATATATATATATATATATATATCAGTCCCCTTCTATTGAGGGATCCCTCAAATAATTTTATTTGAGGGACGCCCTTTAGGGTACCCTACAATTTTTTTCCCAATGATCCAAACCATCTATTTTTTAGGTCTTTATTCATATATCATCCTTACAAAAAATTAGATAAATTTGAAACCGTTTCGACATCCAATTGTGTCTTACAAAATCAATAAACACGGTGCTTCAAGAAAGTACTAAAATTTCAATAACTCAATTGAGTGGTCAAATGATATCGGATTCAAGTGATTTTTTGTAGAGATGATCTTTGAATGAGTATCTACAAAATAGACGGTTTGGATTAGTGAAATACAATCCGAAGTAGGGCCTACAAGGGGTGTCCCTCAAATAAGCTTATTTGAAGGATCCCTCAATGGAAGCTCTCTCTGTGTATATATATATAAAAGACAACAACAAGAAATAAACATTCAATGCAAAATACAAATACAAATAATACTTATATAAGTTGCACCCTTCAAGTCTTCACAAAGTTAAAATCACTAATTATTGATTCATTATCTATATTATCAGCAAATTCTCTTTCAATATGAAGTAACTCATCACCTATCTTGTTCCGAAGTCGATTTTTAATAAGTCTCATACATGAAAATGCCCGTTGTATTGTTGCTGTAGACACAGGAAGAGTTAGTACCAAACGGATCAATCTATCAATAAAGTAATATAGAATGTCAACTCAATTGTAAGTCTCTAATTATACTTCATAAACCCTAAATAATCTCCAAAATTTCAACATCAACAAATTTAGAGAAGAATTTTTTTGTAAAAAAAATGAAGGATTGAAGATTACCTTAGTTTGTTTTTAGTAAGTCTTCAAGAACATGGGTGATCTTTGGCGTGCAGCATCAACGACATGGAATTTTGATTTTCTCTTTGGTCGAAGTCTCGAAGAGCAGGGCTTGGGTAACTCAGCAAGAGAGAATGAAATGATATTAAAGCAACTCCAGCAACAAGGTTGGGGCGCGGGCTGGGGGGTGTTTGGGCCAAAAAAGCGATTCAAGCAATAGAGGCTTGCCTGGGCAATAGGTGGACCCCAGCAGACTGGGCTGGCCCTCGAGGGAGGCTGGCCCAACTTGGAGCCTGAGTTTTGGATGATGTCAGCGCGCTACAGTGCTGCCCATAGCCAGCAGCCACATGGTGTCATTTGGGCTATCAGATCTGATTTTTTCCTCCAATCCAACGGCAGCGAATTTTTGTGCGATAAAATAATGAAAAAAATAGAAATTTTAAAAAAAAAATTACCCAAAAATTAATGAATTTTTTTTTCTATAAATACTAACCAATACTCTTCACTTTTAACACCAAATCCTCATACATGTTCATCTCTTTCAACTATTATTCACTTTCTATTTAATATTTTTTTCACTTTCAAGTTTTATTTTTCCAATTATGAGATATGAATTTTATAATAAAGATTGACACGTAGGAACCCAAAAATCTAATCCGAAAATATTATCCAAATTAATTGTTTAGGTAAAAAAATATGTGAAAATAAAAAATAAAAAATAGAATAGTATTTATCATGGCAAAAGGCAACTACTGGAAACACAAATTGATTTTTGCAAGGACAGTCACTATTTACGTGAATAGTAGCTGCCCTAGCCCCCCCTTACCATGGCAAAGGGCAAATTGCTGGAAATGCTCTTAGTTTGTATTACGGGTGGTTCCCTGTGGTGTGGGGTTAGTTTGTATTTTTTATTGTTTTTATTGGTGAGACATGTTGATATCAAGTGTGTTTGTTAACTAATGGTATTTTATTTGGATGAGATATGGTGATCACGTGGGCTGTGGGATTATTTTAGGCTGCAAAATTTCAATTCACTTAGGCTACAGTCCAGGTTAGTCTGGACGTGGGATCGTTCTTGCCTGGGTTAGAGCCCATGGTAGCCTTGTTGCTAGTTCCGCAGGTGTATGAAGCATTCAAAGTGCTTGTCATGAATTATTTGGATGTAGAATCACATGAGTCGTTTGGATCCATCGAGAGTTTGTTGGGGGAAACCGATATGACTCCGGCTGATGTTGCTGAGAATTTGATGCCTAAATCTGATACAGAGGATGCAGACTCTTGTTTGAAGAGCTTGATTGAAGCTCTTGAGGCTGCTACGGTGGAGGGAAGAGTGAAGGCAGAGGAAGAAGCAAAATTAAAGGAAATATCTTGTAATGCTGAAGACGAAGTGAAATGTAATGGAACAAAAGATGAACTGAAAGGAACATCAGTTGCAGAAGTCAAAGAAAATGGCGTGACCCCGTGAAGAAGTTATGCCCCTTGAACGAGACATTGGGTCATTACCTCTTGAAGATATGTGACATGTAGTCTTTATGTCATACTCAAGATGTCAATTATATGTTCATTACTTTATGTCATTAACAATTTTTACTAGTAGATCGTTTTGTGGGCAACTTTTGTATGTGCTTTATCATTATCATCCTTATTTATTAGGTTTTTTCGGAGTTTAGTAGCATGCCTGACATTTTTAATTAGATTATTATTCAAATAGTCCTCAAATTTATACTTGAGTTGTATTTTGGTCAATTAATTAAATTATTCATTCAAATGGTCCACTAACTCTTTATTAATCGGCACATTGGTCCTATCCTTACAGTTTCTATTAGATTTATTCACATGCTACATTTATGAGGGTAAATAAGACTTTTGACGCTCCTATCCCAACCCCCAACCCCATTCCCTAGCCACACCTCAACAAACTCCAGACCTGAACCCAGCACCCCATCTAGGCGAACCCAATCTATCCATGTCTCTTCCTCTCTCTCCCATCCGCCTTCAGTTTCCTAAATAAAGAATTTTCAGTCATAATCTCCATCAAAACTGTCGCTGGGAAAACCACCATGGTCAGCTGACCCGACGAGATCTTGAAATTGTTGGTATGCAACGGTTTCTCACTGGGGAAGAGAGAGGTAGAGGGATAGGAGGAGGGGCAAGAGAGGGTGGGGTGCAAGGAGGACAAGATGGGGCGCTGGGCGATGGTTGTGGGAGAGACCAAATCACATATTATTTCAAGAATCTCATGTAGGCATTGGATTGGGGTGGATAAATTATTAGGAGGAGGTGTTGGAGTGAGATCGGAAGGAACATGTTAAGCCCCGTTTACCATTTTGTTTTCAATTTAAAAATATATATTTATATAGGCCCCCTTTTACATTGTTCTTCATTTCCACATAGCTCCAAAGGGATTGTACCCAAAATTTATACAGTATGATGAAAATAGAATCACGGTTTCAATCTTCAAGGGTCCCAAAATAATTATTGGTTTCAATGGACAATATCAGGATGTCCGAATGCACGAGTTCAAACAGAAAAAATGTTGAAGAGAAGAAGGTGGGAGAAGGATAGACTTTTTTTTTGGGGGTATATTATGATTTTTCAGTTTTTAATTTATTTAGTATTTTATTTAATTGGACTGTTTTACCCCTATATTTGATGGCAACATTGACAGAATGTAACGGTAGGATCAATGCGCAGATTAATAAAGAGTTGGTGGATCATTTGAACGAATAATTTAGTTGAATGACCAAAATGCAACTCGGGTATAAGTTTGAGGATTATTTGAGTAAATAACCTCTTTTAATTTTATTTTTTATCATTACAAAGGGAGATTCAAACTTGTGCACTCTTTGCAATGTAGTTGATAACAATTTTTTTTATTAACTCACTTTTAAATTTTTTGTTTTGTTTTAATTTTTAGTACAATGCCCATCTGTATGTAATTTTATTTGGCATGACCTAGTCTCCTCTCTTTGGGAGCAGGATCAGCTAGTCAACAGAATCAAACAAAAAAGAAACCATGCGACGAATCTGCATCTTTCCACGTTGGCCTTCTATGATTTCAGCTGGTATTACAACTTGAATAACATGCCAAACCCAAAATTTTGGAAACTATTTTTCCAGTCAGAATTTTCCAATACGTTAGAAACTTACACAGATTTGGTAGCTAGACATGTGATACGAGATTCTTTCTCCTTTGTCTATATTTGGCGTAATTGCTCTGCACATTCACCAGCCAAGTGGGAAGGGCCGCGCGCTGCATATTATTAACCCGGAAAGGGGGAAGGGCTATGCTTTTCCATCATTAGTCAAGACAGTGACTTGATGTTTATCAAAATTGGTGGGCTTCGAACGTTCAATTAAGCATGCTTCCTCTTGGTTTCTTTTAGTCAATGAAATATAGTTACAAAAAAAGCACTGGGAAATTGGGTGAGTGATAACTTAATTCCGAGCGAAGAGTCTCTTCTAGTTCTCCCTTGTATCTAAACCAAACCTTGTCTTTCGTCTTAGTAAGAACAACCCTAACCTTCAGCAGTTAATTTCCAAAAGAAAAGAGTGCAGAGGAAGATGATGATGAGGATGGGGCTCAACTGGGCCCAGTCATTGCCAGTGTCATGTTTGTGTGCACTATTTTTCGACAATACCTTCCCCTTCAACTTCGCTACTATGTTGAAAAATATAGCCACAAATTAGTGAACATTTTCTACCCTTACATCCAAATCACATTTGATGAGAACACCAACGAGTTTCGCCGACGCAGCGAAGTCTATTCTGCCATCCAAAGCTACCTCAGCACCAAGTCTTCGACAATAGTGAGACGTCTAAAAGCTCATGATGCCAAAGACAGCAAGTCTCTGGTCCTTGCCATGGACGACAATGAAGAAGTGACTGATGAATTTCAAGGCATTAAAGTCTGGTGGGTGTTGGTGAAAAGAGTGCCTCAACAGACTTCATTTTCTTTCTACCCTCAGTCTGATGAGAAGAAGCATTATAAGCTCACCTTCCACAGACACCATCGGGACGTCGTCACAGGGGCTTATCTTGAACATGTGATCAAGGCGGGGAAGGCAATAACAGTTGGCAACAGACAACGAAAGCTTAACGTGAACAATCCTTCCCAGAATTGGTACACATACAGAGGGACAATGTGGAGCCACGTAGTCTTTGAGCACCCGGCAACATTTGAGACCTTGGCCTTGCACCCCAAAAAGAAGGAAGAGATTGTCAATGACCTCATCAAGTTCAGCAGGGGGAAAGAATATTATGCGAAAATCGGCAAGGCTTGGAAGCGGGGCTATCTCCTTTATGGGCCACCAGGCACTGGAAAGTCTACCATGATTGCTGCCATGTCGAACCTCATGAACTACGACGTCTATGATCTCGAATTAACGACGGTGAAGGATAACACAGAGCTGAGGAAGCTACTTATTGACACGCCTAGTAAGTCTATTATCGTGATCGAGGACATTGATTGCTCGCTTGATCTTACCGGTCAGCGGAAGAAGAAAAAGGAGAAGGATGAGGAGGATAATGAAGAAAAGGATCCAGTTAAGAAAAAGATGGAAAAAGAAGAGAGCCAACCAAGCAAGGTTACTCTTTCTGGGCTGTTGAACTTTATTGATGGGATTTGGTCAGCTTGTGGTGGGGAAAGACTGATTGTGTTCACCACTAATTATGTGGAAAAACTTGATCCTGCTCTCATAAGAAGAGGAAGAATGGACAAGCACATAGAATTGTCCTACTGCTGCTATGAAGCATTCAAAGTGCTTGCCAGGAACTATTTGGATTTAGAGTCTCATGAATTGTTCGAAACCATTGAGCGTTTGTTGGGGGAAACCAACATGACTCCTGCTGATGTTGCAGAGAATTTGATGCCCAACTCTGTCACGGAGGATGCAGACTCTTGCTTGAAGAACTTGATTGAAGCTATTGAGACTGCAAAGGAGGAGGCAAGAAAGAAGGCTGAGGAAGAAGAAGCAAGTAGGAAGGCAGAGGAAGAAGCAAAACTCAAGGCAGAGAAAGAAGAGAAGGAGAAAGAGCAGTCTGCTAAAGATGAAGTGAAATGTAACGGAACATCAGCCAAAGAAGGAGATGTAAAATGAATGGAACATCAGCTGAAACGAGTGAAAGAAAACAGACTCTGCCATGGAAGGAAGAGATTGAAAGTATCTGCATAATTTTAACCTTTCTTACCTATTGTAATAAGAAGACAGAGTCTGCGCCCTGATCAATCTGTGTGTTTTCTTAATGCGTAATAAGTATCTTTCAATGAAGTTGTAGAACATTTTGTCTAGCCACATATGCATTTTTAATTTCATGCTAAGCTAAGCTTTAAGTTGCAACAACTGTTTTTTCCTTCTTCTTTTAACTGTGTCTACTTATTAATATTTCCTTCTGGATACTACTTGCCTCCTTACATATAAGGAGATACTTCTCCTTCATGCGAATCACAGTTTGACACATATGCAAAAATAATTCATCACAAATACAAAAAGAAAAACTTATGCACACATGTCACACTGCTATTCGCAAAGATTTAGGAGTTCCTACTTACCTGGTAAGGAGGGACGTATTTTCCTTTCCTTCTTATTCGCTAAAATTTTTGGTTCATGATTCACTTTCAGATCAAAGATGCATTTTGTTTTCCAAATTTCCCTTGACTATAATTCAAACTGAAGGGAAACTGCGTAGAAAAGTATGTGTAATGATGCTGAATTGAAGGATTGTGACATCATTGTGAATACGATGTTAATGACGTCACGGAACAGATAATTTCCATTTGGGTTAACTCATCGAGCAAGAAAACGAGTCCACGTCTGCACACAGCCTTTGCCGACTTCTGGCATTGAGACAAATCTACCAGTCAATTTTGAACCGGAAACGTTTGATCGTATTCACACAGAATAATTAATACCGACTCACACCAAGGCCTTTTCCAACAAAAATATATTAAAATAATCTTCACCAAAGTATACAAATTGTAGCATACATCGATACATACATCATCTCAGAAAAACAAGAAGATACAGAGGCCAAGAAAGAAGAGGCAAAGTTGCAAACATGGTTCCAGCAGACATGTTTGCTCATCTTGGATCCACGATTGGAGGCTTGATGTTTGTGTGGGCAATCTTTCAACAATACTTTCCTTATGAAGTTCGGCGGCACATCGAAAAATACTCGCAGAGATTGGTGGGTTATGTGTATCCTTACATCCAAATCACATTCAATGAGTTTACAGGGGAGCGTCTCATGCGCAGCGAGGCTTATTCTGCCATCGAGAACTATCTGAGCTCCAAATCTTCCACCCAAGCGAAGCGGCTCAAGGCTGATATCAAGAACAACCAGTCCCTTGTTCTGAGCATGGATGACCATGAGGAGGTCTCTGATGAGTTCAAAGGGGTCAAAGTCTGGTGGGCTTCAGGCAAAAACATTTCCAAGCAGCAGACTTTTTCATACACTCCCATCAAT